TTTGTCACAAGCGCTATTTAAATTTGTCATATTATTATTATTATTCTTATTTCATTTTAGACATAAACTCTAATCCATCCTTTGATATTTAAACTGCACTACTCCCATTGTGTGCTTTTTCACACTCTCCCTGATCTATAAAGACTGCTTTCTTTATTTGATCATCAACAGAAGCGAAAGGCTAGGCCACGAACTTTTCGAAGCGTGACCAGATTATAAGTATGCTTAAATGGGGTATTGATGTATGTAGAAAAAACAGGATTAAGATCCCATGCAACGCTTCGAAATTTAAAAGAAGAATAAGAAAAATAAAGTTGAGATTCAACCTTTATGTCTAGACGTTGCATAATGCAATTCGTTTTGGTATTTTATTCCATCTCAGAGTGATTATAGAAGTTATTTTTTAAGGATAATAAAGATAAAGCTGTCCGGGTTTTTAAAGATAATGCGTCAAAACAAATCGAACAAGCTGTTTATTTCTTTATTCATGGTCTGTTTCTACTGTTTATCTATTTTCATTGCCAACCCTCGAAAACGAATTTAGTATGCATTTCACAGAGGAAGTTTGCATAGGAGAACTATATATATATATATATATATATATATATATATATATATATATATATATATACAAATTATTTATTGGGCTTATTTTGCTTTCTAATGGATCCGTACAATATGGCACAGCTTTAGGGGCCTGGAAGAGCCCCTACCAGGGGTTCCAGGGCGGAGCCCTAGGATGCTCTCGAGTTTATTTGACTTTCAAGAGAAAGTGTCTCTAAGATATAAAGAGAGGTTATTTCTTCAATGAAGTGAAAGGACTCATGAAAATAAAATAGCCCTTTCATTTCATTTTAGAAATAAACTCTAATCCATCCCTTGATATTTAAATTGCACTGCTCCTACTTCGTGCTTTGTTCAAACTCCCCTTGATCTATAAAGGGTGCTTTCTCTATTTGATCATCAACAGAAGCAAAATGCTAGGCCACGAACTTTTCGAAGCGTGACCAGATTCAAAGCATGCTTAAATTAAGATTAAGGATTAAGATCCCATGTAACGCTTCGAAATGTAAAGAAGAATGAGAAAACTAAAGTTGAGATTCGACCGTTATGTCTAGACGTTGCTTAATGCATTTCGTATTGGTATTATCTCTCGTCTGACAGTGATTAGAGACGTTATTTATATGGATAATAAAGATAAAGCTGTCCGGCGGGTCTTTGAACATAATGCTTCAAAACAAATCAAACAAGCTGTTTATTTCTTTATTCATGGTCTGTTTTTACTGTTTATCTTTGCCAATCCTCGAAAACGAATGTATTATGCATTTCACAGAGGAAAGTTTGCATATTGATGAAACATATGGGCGCAGGCCAAGATTTAAACCCACTCAAGTGTGAATTTGGCGCATCTTCACTCATCTTCTTCAACTAGGAAATGGACTTCATTGTAGCCTTAGGACAGGATGGTGAAATAAAATTGATAAAAGAACATCATAATCAGATTATCCGACCCCGGAAACCCCATGAATTCATCAACTTTTATCATACTGGTCCTTTTCCTTTTGAAACTACGCTTGACCTTTAACTCGGATGGCGGCCATTTTTTATTTGGCCAATATGGCCAGCATGACAGCCCCAAGGAGACCTGCAATAGTGATACAAGCAACATCAAAATCAGATTCTCTGACCCAGAAAACCCCCTTACTATATAATTTTTTTTATCATTTTAGCTCTTTTCCTTTTGGAACTACTATTGATCTGGAACTATCAAATGGCGGCCATTTTGGATTTGACCAATATTACCAGTATGACCCGAGGAGATCTCAAATCGATGAAAGTATATCATAATCAGATTCTCTGACCCCGAAAACCCCATAAATATATAAACTTTTATCATACTAGCCCATTTTCTTTCGTAACTACACTTGACCTGTAGGTGACACGACATTTGCTCCTGCGACAATTGCTCCGGGCTTTATTTCGTCTAAGATGTAGGGTTAGGGTTAGGGTTTCAATAGGGTTTTATGTTAGGTTTAGGGTTAGGTTTAGGGTAGGGTATAGTGTTGAATCCAGGGTTGAAGTTAGCCATTCGATTAGTGTATGAAATTTACAGCGGAGCAATTGTCGCCGGAGCAAATGTCATGGAATCGACCTGTAACTATCAGATGGCGGCCATTTTGGATTTGACCAATATGACCAGTATGGCAGCCCCAAGGAGATCTTAAATTGATGAAAGAATATCATAATCAGATTCTCTGACCCCCAAAACCCCATAAATATATAAACTATTATCATACAACCGCTTTTCCTTTTGGAACTACGCTTGACCTTTAACTCAGATGGCGGCCATTTCGAATTTGCCCAATATGGCATACCCAGAGGGTACCCTTCTTGGCGTCCGGAAGAAATCGTAAAAGTATGGTATAATCTACCTCTGGGCCAAATTTGGTGCTTTTAGAAGAATCTGCACCAAACAACCCCTATTTAGCCCTAACAGCCTCCACTATATTGACTATGTATATGTGTGGACTAGAGTACGGACATTCGGTGCGGCAGGCGGACTATTGGTGCGAGACCTCTTCCGCATGGATTGTCCGTCAGACATTTGAGGCGCGCACGGAATGTCCGACACGGACATTCTGCGCGAATAAAATCCGCACCGATCGTCCGCTCTCGATCGATCTCTAATAGTCGGACGATCGGTGCGGATTACATTCTACGCGGTCACACCGGCCATACGTAAATGGCAGTGACGGTAACGACGAATTAGGAGGAAGGGGTGCATACGTGAACTACAAGCGTATTGGGGATGATCATACTATCATTTTAGAGTGTGCAATCTGGGTCAGAATCCAGCATAATATATTTATAAAAAAAGAGGTTCACATAAAAGCACTCATGATAAAGCCGCGCCCGGCCCCTACAACATCATTTTGGATTTTCAGATGATGGGGCGGGTGGCAGGGGTAGGGGGCAAAGTTCGCCCCACTCTTCAAGTACCCCCCCCCCCCAAAAGGGCCACTTTTACTATGTAAAGAAGTGCCCCTTCCCCTTTTTAACTCGGATAAGCGCACATTTCATCAACACATGTGCCCCCTTTCCTATCTGATAAGGGCTATTTAGAAAAATGAGGCCCTTCATAAATAAAAAGTGTCCCTTTTCATCTCTGGTAAATGACCATTTTCATATATATGAAGTTAATTCGTTTCACTTCAGTGCGCTCTTCACCTCCGATAATTGCCCCTATTCGAATCTGAGAGATGCTCATTTTACCTTGAAAAGTACCCCTTCCCCTCCTGATAAGTACTCTTTTCATCTATGATGGGTGCCCATTTTCACCTTTGCTAACTGCCCTTTAATTTTGAATCGTGCCCCTTTTCCTTTCTATATAGGGACCTATCCCCTTTTCATAAATACCCCTTTTCACCTCTGATAAATCAATTTCTGATGGATGCCCCTTTTCCGTCGACAAATGCCCATTTCCCATACTCATAAGTGCCCTATCTCACTTCTGGTGAGTGCCTCCTTTCAGGTGTAAGAAGTGCCCAGTTTGAACCTTTGATAATTACTCTTTGTACCTTGACACATGCTCCTTTTCTTTTCTAATAAGTGTCTTTAACCCTTTCGATATGTGTCCCCTTAACCTCTCATCATCGGGGGGGGGGGGGGCACGTGCCCCCCTAACCTGCTCATCATTAGTCTTGCACCAAATTTAAAGCGACTAAGAGTAATTTCCCCTAAAGCTCGCTCGCTCGCTCGCATTTATAGATGATACAATTATATGTCACTTTAAAACAAATGTTTTTTTAGTGTTCCGTGATGCTTATAACCCCATCATGATTTTTTTTTTCTTCCTCTTTATAAGATGTAATTTTTTTACTCTACGACCTCACAGATCTTACATTTTTTCTCGCTCGCTTTGCTCGCTCGCAAATGAATATTCAGACAATCACACTTAGCCGAAAGTGTGATGCTTAAGCAATAACTTGTATGATATATAAAGAAAAACAAATATTGAAATCGTCCCTGATAATGGGATCACAATGAAAGGGTATATACCAATGTCTAAAAAAATGTATATTTTCGCTTTGAGATTTCGCTTTGTAGGTGCCCTTTTTTGTTGGTGCTTTCCACTTTGGAAATAGCTCCTCCGCCCCTGCTTACGCATTAGCGCCAGCGTGTGTGTGGGGGGGGGGGGGTTCCTCTCTAGCTCTGAAGCTGATTTTTTTTTTATACCTAGATTCGTGCGATTCGGTTAATACTTTTAGAGGGAGTCTGATGGGTGATGTGCCCCCCTCTGAAGCTGACATTTTTTTGGATTTTTGAAACTGGATTCGTGCGTTTTGGTTAACAATTTTTTGGGGAGTCTGATTTGATTTCAAAACACCTGCAGTTAATGCGTGATGGTGTTGCAGCCTCTCTTTCCCCGAAAATTTAAAAATTACCAATATGCATTTGTTATATCTTATCTCGTATATTTTTGTGACAATTAACACTTTTCACAACATACATAAGCTCAAATTTCCGCTCACTCGCTTCGCTCACTCGCCAAATTATTAAACCAGGAAATAGATATTGGGGCAAGAGGCTTCAGCCCCCACTGACGGAAATGTCAAAAAAAAATTGCGCGCGAGCATAACTTGAAAACGGGGAATGTTGATATCGGACAAGAGATGTGACGTGAGCATGTCCCCTTTCCAAAATAATTGTGCCCGTTTGTAGGTACCAATACACTATTAAAGTACAGTGCTTCCAATATGACCTTGTCAGTATTGGTAAGTTTATATAACGGTCTGCACGAATTTCGAATTTCCGGCCCCCCCTATTGGAAAATCCTGGATCCGCGCCTGGGGTTTGGAGCTCTCGAGAGCCCACCCATTCCGCGGGATTCCCTTCGCAAGTTTGTTTACCCTTCCATTTTCCGGCTCTATTTACAAGCTAAAGAATATTTGTTTTTCATCTTTCGCTTGTTTTTATAGTCGGGAGGAATATGGGAAATTACGGGTATACGGACCGCACGCATGTGCGTGCATCGGATGGATTTCCATGGTCGATCGCACATGCGTGCGCCCCTATATAAGAAGGTTTCCTCCCGCCGCGATGGCAGAAAACCAGAGAACAGAACCAGACACCGAGTATTAGAGCTACACTCGAAGAATCACTACGGAGACATCACAGCAAGGAGCATCAACGGACATCAACGGATTCTCAACATAGTGACGGCTATCGGTGAGTAGCACTTTACTTTCTCAAGCTAAGTGATCAGTCTGAGTCACACGTTTGCTTCGCTGCACTGCCTGGTGTCCTGTGATCACTGGACGAAAGATCGGTGACAATAGGTACCCAGAGTCCCTGTTTAGTAATGGCTTAATTCACCTTTCTTACCCAGAAGTGAAAAACAGAGTAGTCCTTCCTTTTGCCAACACTATATCCTCTCGCCTGAAACGAGCATTCCAAGACAAGGACATCAGTGTTGCCTTCAAAAGCCCTAATACACTAAGAAGTGTCTACCCAAAAGACAAAATCCCAAGAGAGGAAAAGACAGGTATTGTGTACAAGATCACGTGCACAGACTGTGACAATTCATATGTTGGGGAAACTCTGGGTACCTATTGTCACCAGTCTTGACTTTGGTCCAGTGATCACAGGACACCAGGCAGTGCAGCGAAGCAAACGTGTGACTCAGACTGATCACTTAGCTTGAGAAAGTCCACAGGAGTGGACGAAAGCTTGCATATCAAAGTTGCTTTATGGTTTCTCACTTCCACTGACTTTCAGGTAGTATTATATAAAGGCGCCTGAAATCATGACCGGGGTTGTGTATAAAGTCTCTCCTCATTTATATTTATTTTGTTAACACCTGCGTCAATTACCATCCCTGTTCGTGTTTTACAATGGTATTTCAACAAACGTTGGGTGACAGTTTTTAATCCCAGCATTTTTCTGTTTCCATTTGGTAGCATCAATAGTGAGGTTTGGATCTATGTTATTATCATACGTTGATGTTAATTTCAAAAGGGAATCGCTCATTATGTAGCTAAAGAAATTAAGGAAATTTCCAAGAAAAACAAGCTGTTCACGTCAGTAAGGGCGAGTAGAGCAGTTTTCTTTACATCGTTATACCTATTTCTTTTAAAAGAATTAGTTCTAATGCACATCACTGTGTTTCATTGTATACCCTTTTTAACTTTAACTTTTCTATCACGATCGGCTAGGCCTTGCCTCAGTATTTCCTTTACAAGATAACCTTTTCAATGTTTGTATTTCTTTTTCTTCAGGAGGGGGAGCTAGGATTCGGCGTGGACCCCGTAACAAACATGACACAATCCATCACAGTAAAATAACATCTAAAGAGTAATAAAAAAAATGAAATCTCTACATTTTTGTCTTTCTCTCTCTCTCTCTCTTTCTCTCTTTATATCTCTCTATCTCTTTCTCTCTCTCTCTCTTTCTCCCTATCTCTCAGTTCAATTTGTTTATTTTAACCAAACAGCAACCTGGAATATCACCATTTTCAAAATGGCGACTGCCGTTCTCGTTCCCGGTGATTACGCAGCCATTGTGTGTTATTTCATGGTTGTTTTCGGAGCAGGCCTTTACGTAAGTGCTCCATTTCGGGAAGTCATTTACAATTGTTACGTTCATACGTTTTAATTTCAGTAAGAGCCCTATAAAGAGTATGTGCCCAGCTTGGTTAACAATTATTATCTCGTTTATGACCATGATGACCCTGGGTAATGGTCTTATTTGGATCTGCAAAACTAAAGCCTTATAAAGTCAATGGATTTTATTACCAGTGTGCTTAAAAGTGTTATTTGCCCATCAACTATCTTTTTAATGTCCTTGTGTTTGTGTTTTGACCTCCCATGACCTGAAGATTTATTAAACACTTGCAATAAATCTGCTTCATTCAGATATCTAAAGACAATCATATGACAGTATCTTTTTCTGGGGCAATTTTTTTAGGCTTTATATGGGTTATAGGTTTTAGGCTTTTCTTCAAACTCGGGTTAAAAAAAGAAGTTTGGCCTATTGCGTTCTGCAAATTGTTCAATTTTTTAACGTGATTCTAGACCCAGAGTTGGGTTCAAATGAATTAATACCATATAATATTTTAATTGTAATATCATAATAGTTTCAAGAACTTATATTTAATAGTATTTTTGTTCTGCAATCAATAATGCCATACCATATTGACCTTTAAAAAAGAGGGGGGGCACATGCATAAACTGCCAGCCGCAAAAGGCGCCTCCTTAAAAAGATGTAACATTAATTGTAGGTTTGAGGTTTATGTATTTGTACAGCTGCTAAATAATGACAAAAACAACGACAAACAACGACAACGACAATATTATTCATAATAATAGTAATAATAATAATTTTAAAAATCATAACGGCATCTAGGAAAAAAAATAAAAATTTTCTTTTAAATTTCTGCTTTTAAAGCAGAAAAAGAGGATGAAGATTAAGAAAAAGTTACATTATCCAATGATTTATTATCTATAATATTTTTTTCTTCTGCTTCGTTTACAAAGGCGCTTTTTACATCGAACCGAGGAACAGTAAATGGGTATTTCTTGGCAGGAAGATACATGACATGGCTTCCAGTAAGTTGGTTTAAAGAGAGTTAAGTTATGATGTCTGGGATGTTTATTTAGAGAGAAATAGGCTTGAAGTTAGTATAAACAATTGAATTAATCAGTAGTTTAGATCAGCTTAAAGGAATAGAGGGTATAGTTGATATATATTCTTAATACAAAAATAGGTAAAATAGATAAATATTTCAAAATTAATCGCAAATTAATCGATTTCATATTTTGATATTAATATTGATATTGATATTGATTTATTCGTCCACAATGTGGAAATATGCTCCCCACCAGCATTACAATAATACAAGAAACAGAGTGCAATAAAATGAGACGTACAAAACAATTAAGCAAACAATTTCAGAACAGAAAAGATCTCGTCATTTCACAGAAATGATTTTTACGCCATCCAAAATTGTTAAACTTCCTTTCTGATTAGATGATTACAAATATTTCTCCACTGTTTTTAATGGGCTATTCAATATAATCATCGTTGGTGTACTAAGCTTTATGTGAATAGTTTGTAAATTCAAATAATTATGATCATTATTGATATTGTTATTATTATTATCAACGCCATCATTGTTCGTCAAATTGGATAGATAATTGCAGTTATATTATTGTGGTCGTATTGAAATCATATATACATGTATGGATTATAACAATAATGGGTAACTGAAATGCTATCGTTTATTATCTCTTTACGAATTGGTTAAACATTGGTATGAAGGATTTTTCCTTCAAGGTGATTATATTCTCCCAACTTCTCAATTTGAAACGGTATTTAAGTGGTACAAATATTTGTAATGATATATATATATATTATATACAGCGGTTTGTATTATAGTTGTAAGGAAAATGTCAAATATCATATTTGACTGCATTAGACTGGGATCAAATTGATAAGTTTGTAATAGTAGTGATTTCTTCCTTCTGCTGATTCTATTTCAATTTAGGTCGGTGCATCGATTTGGGCCAGTAATATTGGGAGTGAACATTTCGTTGGACTTGCTGGTGATGCCGCTGTGACGGGCATCTCCCCCGCTGCATTTGACCTCAATGTAAGTCACCTCTTAAGGGATAGTTGAGTTCTTGTTTAATACTGTAAATGCCTTCAAAGTGCACGGGTATTGCTCTTATTCTTATTTATGACATTTTTAGTGCACTTTTAGAAGCTAAATTTGCTATGAAGGTAATTTTAGCCCCCAAAACGTGTGAATTTGGATTGAATACGATCATGACTATTCAGCTCCACTTTTTTTTTTAAAGGCGACCGGTAATTTATTAATTAATTACTAATAACAATACACGGGCCGGTTGGTTGTGAGTATTATCACCAACACGAAAAAGCCAATATTGGCATTTGCTGAAATAAAACGTACACGATGCTATCTCGTTTTTCAACGGCTGGTTCAAAATTACCGAATATTTGTGGGGCACCACAAATAGATTGAATAAATATGAAACAAGTTCAAGGGATCGAGCGCTGGTTTTGCCAATTCATTTCGTAGCAAGCCCTCTAATCTTATCGATATTCTGAGGAGCACAATTTTGATATGGCCCTACGTTTCCTGTTTTAATATCAACTTCCCATTTCCAAACGTTTTCCAGCAAACAAAAGTTTCGAAATTGTTGGTAATAACAAATATGCTAGGCAAGATATTAAAAATACCAAAAGAACACGGAGCTGCCCGAAAATAAACATATGATACCCCGATTATCAGGGGACGATTGCTCAAATGTCAAAATATCAAAATTATTGGGGAATGTAGCCGATGTCCCGGCCTCGTACCCGGCTGATTATCTGTCATCATGGGACCACCTACATGACTAATAACGTATCCAGTATGAATAAAACGTAATATATATCTTTATTGTAATGAGTCCTTGTAAAAACTAAGAATGGTTGAATGTTGTCATTAACGAATGTAAAATGAAACTTATTGAATATGTACATGGGCAATAACTTCAACAGAACTGAACGAAATGAATTTTCCAAGCACGGCGCCTTTGCAACAAAGCAAATGACAACGGATACCAAGTGACTGTAATCCGAATTATACCTTAATAATACATTCCTATTTTCTTCACTGTATGTTTCAGGGCTTGTCTCTGTTACCCCTTATGGCGTACCTGTTCGTTCCTGTTTACATCGCATCAGGGGTAAGTAGCGCGGCAGATTCTGAATTTAGTTGCAATAAGGATATTAGTTGTTAAGAGGGAAGTCAATAACCCCGCTGACTTAAGAAAAATAGATACGTACTTTAAAGAGTGAAGTGAGTGTAACAATGCATTGGTTGATGTCCCTGTGCCACGACTGAGGGAAAGGGAGCAATGGCGTACCTTTAACTCGGAAATATTCATCTTAGAATCAACAAAATTGAAAACTAACCATGATTGAAAACCTTTTTATAATCAGTTGACTATCAAGAAATTCCGTATGCGATGTGTTGTTGTCGCCGTTGTTGATGTTGTATATCAATGTTTAAAGAAGAACTAACCCAAAGAGTAAGTGTAGGTATTCTGAAAAAAATTAATGAATTCCTGTCATTTGATGTATAATACATTTTACGAACGTGTAAAAGAGATATATAAATGAAGATTTCTTGGCATGATGTCAGCGCTCAAAATACACGGGGGCGGTGGACGATTCGCCCTCGTGAGCTACATAATCACGGGGGCGATTGCAAAATTAAAAATCGCCCCCGTGGAATTATAGAATAAAGATTATCTTTTCTGTTATAACTTTAACACAATATTTAGTTTCAATTTTCAAACCTTAAACCAATGAAACGGAACTTAGATTAGCGTGCAAGATTTCCCGTTCTATGAGTAGGCCTAGTAATTATTACCGATTCAGCTTGCAGTGCAGTGCCGCCGTCAGCAGTGGTTATAGGCCTACTGCGCCGTTAGTAACGGTACGTGTGCACGCTGCCGCGCCATGTCTGCTGGAGCTGGAGGCGATCGCGCAAGGGCAGAAACATGGTCATGGAGAAGTTTTTCGTTGTGAAAGCGTAAACCCGCTAAAATCTGGTGATTTTAAATGACCAGCAAATAATGAACCACGACCAGTAAATCAATATAAGGGACTTTTAGATTTGCACGATGAGAACGTGGACTGCAACGTGTGACCTCCTTTTAAGGCACTGCCAGTGCTTAAAAGGACGTCACATGTGAGGGGGCTGGATAAATGCACATATATTTGTTTTGGGGGGTCCAGTTTTTGGGGAACATTTTTGGGCCGACTCAGCCGGCCGGTGAATATTAAAGCGGGGGGATGCTGGAGAGGAGAACTACTAATCTATTTTATTTTTTTCAAGGGCCGTTTTAGCATGACTTTCTTTTTAACTCTTACTTTCACCTATCTCAGATAACCCTAAGTTTTTGTTTGCTGCTTTATGTAGTTGATAATGCATGATTAAAATAAAGAGAGAGAGAGAGAGAGAGAGAGAGAGGGATCCACCATGATTTTGCAATGGTTCAGGGTTTGTGTAATGTACATTTGAAACCATTTCTTAGCGTCTCAACCCTAAAAAAATAGCAAAACTATTTTTGAGGAAAATCATTATACTGAACTGAATAAAGAATAATAGCTTTATATTGCCTCATACTAATACTGATACGAGCTAAAGTATTTGTATAGAGGTATTCCAAAATGACATTCTGATAATCAATATTTTGTTCTGGTATCATATGTATATACGCATAATACAACTGATCTAAATGATTTCTTAACGTGACATAGCTTCTTCTCCCCCTGCAAACAAAAAAGAAAACAAGGTTATTTAAACAAAGGATCATACGACAAATAATCATTGTGATTCAAATTGTTGCAAGGAATTTTTTGAATAAGCAATGCTTTTCACCAGAATCTTCTTTGAAAAAACGACTTTTACAAATCACAGCCATGCAAATCTGCCACTGTGTTGTAAGATCACTTTCAGATTAGGAGAAATGTATTCTTTAATGAGTATTTTACATTGAATGGAACGTCTCAACTCAGTAAGCATGGCAGAGATTTGTAAAAGTTGTTGTTACAAAGAAGATAAATAGCAGTGCTTATTCCAGGCGCGGATCCAGGGGGGGGGGGGGGGGCGAGCGTGCCTTGGCCCCCCCCCCCCCCGCAAAAAAAAAAAAAAAAAAAAAGGAGAGAGAGAGAAGGAAAAGAAGGGAAAGAGGAGAGAAAGGGAAAAAAAGAGGAAGAAGAAAAGAAAAGAGGGAAAAAGGAGATGGGGGGGGGAAGGACTTGCCTCCCCCCTTCCTCCCCCCCCCCCCCCAATAAAAAAATAAAAGAGAAGGAAGGAAAGGGAAAGAAAAAAGATAAAGAGGAGATAAAGGGAAGGACAAAATAGGAAGAAGAAAAGAAAAGAAAGGGGATATCAGTTGCAATTTTCCCGCCAACAAGTTGTGGATCGAGGGGGGGGCAAAAGACCCTAGCCTCCCCCCCCCCCCCCCCCGTCCCCGCTAAAAAAAGAGAGAAGGAAGGAAAAGGAAAAGAGGAGAGCTAAAAGGGAACAAAAAGAGGAAGAAAAAAAGGAAAGGAAGAAAAGAAGCGGAGATCAGTTGCGGTTAATCCCGCCAACAATGTGTGGAGCGGGTTGGGGACCAAAATGACCGTGCCCCTCCCCCCCCCCCCCCCAGCAAACCTAAAAGAGAGATAAGGAAGGGAAGGGAAAGTGAAAGAGGAGAGAAAGGGAAAGGAAAATAAAGAGAATGAAGAAAGGTAAGGGATATCAGTTGCAATTTTCCCGCCAACAAGGTGTAGATCGGAGGTGGGGGGGGGGGCACTGGCATACTGATAGGAGAGGGGGGAGTTGGAGAAATAGAATTCAAACGTGGTTTATTTATAATTCCATTACGGTGGTTAACAAATAATGCTGAAATGAGATAATTTTCCTCACTTCATGCGTTTGTTGGAAAATGACAAATTCCTAAATTTACAGCCAGGCAAGAAAATGCTTCTTGAGATGCCTACATATCAGGGCCCGCGGAACGGCGGGGATCGGGATCCTCGAGCCCCTCCCCCCACACTTTCTTTGAAAAAGTATATTAAAGAGAAATAGAAAGAAAGAGAGCGAGAAAGAAAAAATAGTTAACAGCCAGGGTCACATTATAATGGGGTATCAAAATATGCTCATCTGACCATGGTTAAAATTAATGCCTAAAATCCTAAGGGCTCTGTCCCCTGGATTCCACCTAGGGCCCTAAGGCGGGCCCTTAGATGCTCATATGACGGTCATTTAATGCCTAAAACCTCTTATTTCTGGGGGCTCTGCCCCCTGGACCCCACGCCAAATAGTGTCCTGCTAGTGTCACAAATAATAAGGTATCAAAAATGCTCATCTGACCGTAATTAAACGTCTAAAACCCCTGAGCTTCTGGGGGCTCTGCCCCCTGGACCCAACCAAGAGCCCTTAGGCGGGCCCCTCGATACTCATCTGACCGTAATTGAGTGCCTAAAACCCTTGAGATTCCGGGGCTCCGCCCCCTGAACCCCAAGCCAATTAGTGACCTGCCATTGTAACAATTAGGTATCAAAAGAATGCTCATCTGACCGTAATTAAATGCCTAAACTCCTGAACTTCCGGGGCTCTGCCCCCTGGACCCCGTCTAGGGCTCTAAGATGGACCCCTGAATGCTAATCTGACCGTAAATTAAAACCTTAAACCCCTGAGCTTCCGGGGCGGACAAGGTATCAACATAATTTATGTTCATCTGACAGCAGGCGCGTAGCCAGGGGGGCGGTGGGGTGGTCCCCCAATAAACGCCGGCCAAAAAAGAGGAGTGTAAAGGAAGAGGACGTAGGAAGAAAAGGGAATAGATAAAGAACATATTTGAAATTCAGACAAGGATTAAGAGTCGAGAACGGTACAACGAATCGTCTTCTTTCTCTAATGAATTAATGAAACGTCAAAGCTTCCGCGCTACGCGCGGGGGAGGGCAGGGGGAACTTAATTCAGACGAGGATAATTTTCGGGAACGGTACAACGAATCGTCTTCTTTCTATAATAATTTAATGAAACGTCGAAGCTTCCGCGCTTCGCGCAGAAGGGGGGGGGGAGGGGGAATTGATTGAGAGCGGTACGACGAATCTTCCTCTTTCTCTAATGATTTAATGAAAAGTAAAAGCTTCCGCGCTTCGCGCGGGTGGGGGAAACTAAATTATTTTCGAGAGCGGAACAACGAGTCGTCTTCATTCTCTAAAAATTTAATGAAACGTCGAAGCGGGGGGAAAACTGAATTTAGACATGGATTAAGAGTCGAGAACGGTACAACGAATCGTCTTCTTTCTTTAATGATTTAATGAAACGTAAAAGCTTCTGCGCTTCGCGTGGGAGGGGGGAAACTGAATTTAGACAAGGATTAAAAGTCATAACGGTACAACGAATCGTCTTATTTCGCTAATGATTTAATGAAACGTAAAAGCTGTATTCAGACGAGGATTATTTTCGAGAACGGTACAACGAATCGTCTTATTTCGCTAATGATTTAATGAAACGTAAAAACTGTATTCAGACGAGGATTATTTTCGAGAATGGTACAACGAATCGTCTTCTTTCTGTAATGATTTAATGAAACGTACAAGCTACCGCGCTTCGCGCGGGAGGGAGGAGGGGAAAACTGAATTCAGATGAGGATTAAGAGTCGAGAACGGTACAACGAATCGTCTTCTTTCTCTAATGATTTAATGAAACGTAAAAGCTTCCGAGCTTTGCGCGGGAGAGGGGGATAAATTAAGACGAGGATTAAGAGTAAAAAACTGTACAACGAATTGTCTTCTTTTTCTAATGATTTAATGAAACGTAAAAGCTTCCGCGCTTCGCGCGAGAGGGGAAAAACTATTTTCAGACGAGTAGGCACGTCTGGAAGGGGGGGGGAGAGGGGGTTAGGGGGTCGACCCTCCCCCTTCGGTTTTTTTATGTTTGTATTTTGGAGCAACCCCCCACTTTTCTGTGATTTTTTTTTTTAATTAAAAAAAAAAAAAAAAAAATGCCAATGGCTGACCTAAAAAATTTCGAGACCAAAAAAAGAAGTTTCCCTTCCCCCCCCCCGCTTATTTAGCGGCTGGCTGAGTCGTTACGATTTTTTTTCGGACCAAAAAAAAAAAAGTGGGCCCCCCCCCCCTAAGAAATCCTGGATCCGCGCCTGGCTTATTCAAACAAAATATTCGCATCAATTTGAATCACAGTCATTATTTGTCGCTTAATCCCTTTTAATGATCTTGTTTTCTTTCTCGTTTGAAAGGGGAGAAGAAGATAGGCCACGTTAAAGACATCATAAAGATCAGTGTTGTATGCGTATATATTATATACACAGGCCCCGCGGAACGTTTATCAAAATGGGGGGGGGGGTTCAGAGGTTTTAGACATTTAATTACGGTCTTTACTTTTACTTTATCAGCCGTTGTCAATCCACTGCAGGATGAAGGCCTCAGCATGATGTTTCCAAATGCTTCTGTTCAGCGCCTGTTGGTGCCAATTTGTCTGTCCCCAGAACTGTTGCAGCTCGTCTCGCCATCTTTTTTTTTTGACGTCCCCTGTTTCGTTCTCCCTCATATGGTGTCTAGTGAGTGATTGCTGAGCTCCAGCGATTGTCATTCCTACGGCTGATGTGACCCGCCCAATTCCATTTCCTTCTTTTCACTGTTTCAAGGATGTCCTGGACTTTTGTCTGTTCCCTGATCCATTTGTTCGTTTTTCTGTCTTTGTATGTGATGCTTAGAATACTTCTTTCCATGTTGTGTTGCGAGGCTGCTAGCTTTCTTTCCATTTATGAAGTTAACGTCCATGATTACGGTCAGAGAAGCACAAATATTTTGATGCCGCATTTGTGTCACTGGCAGGTCAGGGGGGGGGGGGCGTTTTCTATTTTATTTCTTAAGGTAAAATGTACGTTACTCTCCTATTTTTTTTACCGGTTTGTGAGGCTGGGGGGGGGGGGCGGGCCGGTAGAATCGGCCCGTGGATCCGCGCCTGTCCAAAATAGCACACACACAAAATCGCCTCGCCGCTACGCGGCTCAGTAAAGAAAGAATGTAAAGGTTGCACCGGATAATGAGGAGGAAATAATGTGCAGAACGGGAAAAAATCGAGAGAATGTCATCAGGGGATGAAAGTCAGTAACAGCTATGTAGCTTGTATGGATATTTGTATAAACAAGAGCCCCCGTCAGTACTAAAAGAGCCCGTGTGAGAAGGCTCACGGGGGCTCTTTTTTGGGGGGAAGAGCCTCCGTGGACAAAAAATTAATTTGAGCCCTGCATGATGTACATGTAATGCCTTTTAGCATGACATGGGCGCAGCCATTTTGTTGACAATGTGACGTACCAGGCGGAGTTGTACATAGATCATGCACCAAGCATTATTAGTTGGAAATACTTTTTAATTCAATAACAAAACCTTACTTTTCGAAGAGGGAAACTCATGGTCGAATAGGTAACAACACATTTGGTGAAAAATATAATAGGGTATATTTATTAAAAATTACTCAAATACAGCGTTTGAAAAATCGTGTTCATTTATGCGAAACCTTCATCCCAGAACAGTACCAACATATGTATGCAAATGATAATAGCAGGTGAATAAAATGTTTCAAAACCCCAAACACCTGGAAAGGAAACATCTATACAACTACATTTAAATACAATTAGTTAATAATATTAATAATAATAATGAACATTATTTGTATAGCGCATATCACTAACACAAAGAAGGTCCCTATGCGCTTAGAAAATAAGGAAATAGAGATAGGGCAGAATAGAAATGAACATTATGCCTCATACATGAAAATAATTAATTACAAACAAAAATAATGAAAAGCAATTCCTACATAGCTTACATGTAATAGATAGTACATTCAGGTAATACAAATTGTTAAAATGAAAATTAAATTAGATGTTAATATGAACATGATACTATAACCTAAGAAGTTACTAAACAGCTTGAACGAAATGAACAATTTACAAACAATAGAGTCTTAACGGACTCTGTTGTGCTTGCCAATTTGACAATATCAGGCAAGCTGTTCCACAATTCGGCCGAAGAATTTTTGAAAGAGCGAGTGCCATAATATTTTGTTTGAGTGTTTGAAGTTACCAGGAGGGATTTACTATTTGATCTTATTTTTTTTTTTGTAGGGGAATGAGATCTTGCAGGTAAGATGGGGCTGTACCGTTTAGGCATTGATATGTCAGTAAAAAGATATTATAACTAATTCGGGACTTAACTGGCAACCAATGCAATTGTTTGAGTATGGGTTCTCTCATTCTCTGCGTTTAGTTCTAGTGATTAGTCTGGCTGCTGAGTTTTGGATTCTTTGTAATTAATGTATTGATAAACAATTCCGCATATTGCGTCATGCAATCAAACAAATTTTAATGCCCATGTCTTGCTGAGAAACTGTAATTTATTCATGCTTTATGCCTTAAATTTGTCATACACTTTGATGGGAAATCTTGTAGATTGGTGGACAAGAATGCAATAAATCTCTCAGAACAACTAAAATTATTCTTTGGGGTTAGTTATTCTTTAAGTATATTTCAATACAGCAACAAAATCTATTTAAATGTCATGCATTGTCGGTTTTATTTCTCCCATGATAAAATTTTAGGTATGTACCCTACCGGAATACATGATGAAAAGATTTGGAAGCAATCGCATCCGTATCTACCTTGCCTGCATGTCCATCTTCCTCTACATTGTATCTAGAATTTCGGTAAGTGGATCATTTGTCAAACGAAGACAGTTACGAATGTTCTCAAAGCGTAATGCAATCAGGCATCCTCATCATCATCACCAACGTCTTTATCATCTTCATTACACCTTTGTTTTTCTTTGAAGCAAAAAAATCATTACACCTTTAAGGCCCGGTCACACACAGGGGACGCATGGGGAATGCTCAGCCAACGCATTGGAAATTTGCAATTTTGGCCAGTGCGTTGTCGTGCGCCCAACTTTTGTCGAAGCTACAGCGAGCTGCCACCAAATGCATAGCGTGTTGCTAGCGCGCTGAGCGCATACAGGGCGCATACCAACCGTACACAGAGCGCACATGATAACAACTTCCACGAATGCACAGCGTGTTGCTAGCGCGCTGGACGAATGGTCCACGCATGCACCGCGTTCTCAACAGAGGTGGTCACACATAGACGACGCACGGCCCGCGCATTGGAAATCGGAAAAGGACGTGTGCCTAACTTTTGTCATGATTTTGGAAAAGCTAGCGAGCTGACACATAATGCACAGCGTGTAGCTAGCGCGCTCTGCGTATACAGGGCATGTGCTCCGCGTATGTCTGGCGCTGGTCTAGCGCGCTCCACGCATGTCTGGTGTGTCTTCGGCATGTACATTCATGCGTCCAGCTCGGCGCACATTTTTGAGCATGCTCAAAAAATCCATATGAACAAATTTCGGGCATCTGCTCACGCGGTCTACAACACGTGAAATCGTCTTTGAAAATGCGCTAAGTATGCAAAGAAATGCTCCTACAAGGAAAACAAACTTTGAATTCACACCATCTCGGGTGGACATCACATATTCAAATACTGTTCTTTCCACTGATACCAATTTCGAACTGATTAGTAGATTGGAAAATAGGGCCTTTTCGTCTTCAATAATGGACAACAATCATTCAATTTGTGATTTCTCTATGGAGGTCACAGGAAAATTCGCCTTTTCCACTGGGGTTGTGTACTTCAACGAGATAATGCTCGTAACTGCGACTTGTTATTGGGCCATCTCGGGCGCCAAAACAGAGGATATGTAATCCCCTACCGTCTGATGTGAACAGTGAACAGTGAACACAATATATTCCTGCTCCTCATTTTTGTCTGTTTTCTCGAGAATTGAGTCATCCTACGCTATTACTTTGATGACAGTCTATTACTCAAGTTCTATAGACAACACTGGACTGTTTATTCCTGAATTTATGCTTGATCTCGTGAGAACTAGATGAGAAACATTCTCCTACTTCCAAGTGAGTTGGGTATATATATATACTGTAGCCATGTTTTCAACAGTGTAACATATACCGGTATGTGCAAGCTCACTCAACTGCGAAACTAAGCTCTTGGATCTTCTTCTTTTGTACGGTTGATGATCACGTATTGTGTCTTCTCTGGGTATCAATGGAGTACTTTGGACTAATTACCCTCATCCTTACAATTTTGGGTCAACAGGATTTTTGCCCTATACTACCTACATGCTATGAGTTATCTACCCTAGTGAGCTATATTCCTGTCAGGAGCAAGTATAGTGGGTCATCTGGGGCTCGTTCCTAGAAACCAACGACAAGACAGTCATAACTTTATCCGCCAACTACGGAGATGTCTCTGATCTTCCTAAACCGTTTCACGAAGAGCTTACTAGCTAGTATCTCGTGAGATCGATATTATCGGCGAGAAGAGGAGCCGAGAATTAGCCTTAGTCGCAATACCACCAGATTATTACAAAATTAATATTAGGGAAAATGCAATTATTTAAATGAATTAGTAATAAAAAAGATTGAAAATGATACCAAGAAATAAGAGATCCAATATACTTCCAAATTTGTGTAGATTAAACAATTGAAGTACTTGTAAAATATAATTGTGAGTTTTTCATTACATGACCAGTGAATCAGTTTTGTTGTTGAGATGGGCACCCCCGAATATTTTCATTTGATAGTTTATAAAAATACACCCTTATATTATTCTTTTAAAAAATACGATGTAATGAAATTTGTGTTCAATGTTTTTGGCGTCAGCACAATATAAAAATTACAAAACTTCAATATTTCAAAGGTTAAAACATATGTTTAAACCATTCACTTTACATAATTGAAAATAGAATTCATCTCGAAATTAATATGGGTCTGAAAACTAAAGAATACACTTCAAACTATGGCTTGCCTGCCGTGGCAAAATACATATCCCTTCGACGAGTTTACAATGTGGAAATAAAGGCGTATAATCAGTTTATTTAAGTGGAAAAATCCTTAAATACAAACATGGCATATTTTCATGAGATTATCATATACAAAAAACGATAATTTACTGTTTAAGTGAATGTGTAGAAAAATCATAGTTGGAGGATTTATTGTCCTTTTTTGCCAGCCATAGTCTACCCAATAAATGACATGTGATGGCGCTGCCCATCGACTAAATAGTTATGACAGAGATACGACGGTGTCAGAGGTGTCATAACTCCTTAGTCAGGATGTTGTCGTTGATCTTGGCAAAGAGGGCTTGGTGAAACACGTAGCGGACAAGTTGTTCACTAACGCTGATTTAGTCAAGAAGTTAGACTTATGACGGTTTCTAGGAACGGGCCCCTGTATGCTACTATGCCAACTCTACTGCAACATTCCAGTTGCTTCTTCAATCCGGAGATATAGCTACAAATCCTGGACCTTCTACCAATCGAAACCCTACCATTGCACATGTCGATCATTCTCATGATCAACCAAAGGGTCACGTGACTGGACTTGTATTCAATGCACGTTCTATCCGACATAAAATGCCAAACTTACTCGCCCACTTGGCTACTGATCATACTGAAATCATTTGCATTCTTGAAAGCTGGCTGAACGCTGCATGTGAGGATGTCGAACTCGGGTTTCCATCTAATTACGTATTATTTCGCAAGGATAGAATGACCAAGCCTGGTGGTGGAGTATTGACTGCCATCGACGCTAGCCTTTGCCCTAGGAGATTAGAAAACTTGGAACATCCTGATCTGGAGTTGATAAGCATTGAGTTTCTTCTCCGCAAGAGAAAATGGCTTCTATTGTCTCTATATCGTCCGCCAAACTCCAATGCGCAGTACTGGAACTTGCTTCAAGCCCACATTGACAACATTCAGAGGACCTCAATTGATTTTGATGGTGTTATCCTTACCGGAGATCTGAATGTTGACCTGTTAGATTATTCATCAAGCGATTCATCGCGTCTTCTTTCTATATGCGACACTATGGAACTGACTCAGCTTGTTACTACTGTAACCCGTCCTTCCAAGGACGACCCTTCATCTGGTACCCTGATCGACCATGTGTTCACCAATCGTATTGACCTTTTCGTTGAGGCATCTGTCTGTCCCAACCCAGTTCCAAGTGACCATCACGGCATTGTATTTAAGATCATTTCCCCTAAACCCTTCGCTTCCAAGGCAGTTCTTCGTGAGTTTCTCAACATTCCCAAAGCGGACTTTGACCATATGAATCGCCTGTTGCAGCTTGTGCCATGGAACCTTTTCATCGATCCTGAAGACATAAACTCTACATGGGAAGGATTCTTAGACATCTTTGAGGCTGCCTCTAAAGATGCTATTCCGCGATCTCGGATGAGGACAAGGAAGTATAAGCCATGGATCTCTAAAGAGATAAAGCATATGATTTGCAAGAAACGTAAGCTCTTTGTTAGAGCTCAACGGTCCAACTTAGTTGCCGACTGGAGCCTCTTCAAAGAAGCTCGGAACCTTGCGAAATACGAAATCAGGGCTGCTTACTGGCAGTATGTCAATGCCTTGTTTCTTTGTTGTGATAATAGGAAGAGGTTTTTTGCCTACATTCGAGAGCATAAGCGCCACTCACCGCCTGCTACTATCGCAAGCGGGAGTCGCATCCTTAACAAACCACAAAACATTGCATCTGAATTTCTTACTGCTTTCCAAACCTCCTTTACTGATCCCCAGGGAGTTCCATGTCAACCTGAAAAGTGTGAATTCCCAATAAACCAGCTACAGAATTTTGATATCTGTGTAAGTGATGTTTACCGCCAATTACTTTCTCTCCGGGAAAAGAAAGTCCCTGGTCCAGATAGTCTCTCTCCATCCTTGCTGAAACATACTGCCGTTGTGTCAGCTCCCATCCTCCAGCGTATCTTTTCGGTATCACTAGCTCTTGGTAAAGTCCCAACTGTGTGGAAATCTGCCAATGTTACTCCCGTATTTAAATCTGGTGATAAGTCATCTCCGTTCAACTATCGTCCAGTGGCCCTTACTTCCGTTGGGAGTAAAATCATGGAATCGCTGATAGTTGATAAAATAGATTCTCATCTGGATTCTTCATGTCCAATCTCCACCTTCCAACACGGTTTTAGGAAAGGAAAGTCGTGTGTCACCCAAGTAATACGTCTCACACATGAGTGGCTGAAGTATTTAGAAGGTCCTAAATCTTGCCCGGTCGATGTACTGTATTTGGACTTTTCACGAGCCTTCGATAAACTGCCTCATGATGTGTTGTTGCAGAAGTTAGCCATTCAGTTCAACATCAGTGGTAATCTCTGGCATTGGATAAAGTCACTACTATGCAGTCGCCGCCAACGAGTCATCTATAGAGGTGCTGCCTCTGAATGGGCTAGAGTGCCATCTGGTGTCCCCCAAGGGAGTGTGATTGGACCGCTTTTGTTTAATATGTTTATAAACGACTTGACATCTTTAGTTGACTCTCCTAGTGCGTTGTTCGCCGACGACACTATCATATTTAGGCCAATAAGATCAATTGTTGATTCAATTACCTTGCAAAATGATCTCACTAAAATCTCTAATTGGTGCTTATCTAACCGTATGTCTCTAAATGTCTCCAAAACGAAAGTGATGAGAATATCTGCAGCGCGCAAAAAGGTTGACCCGCCTGCTTACTTCTTGAACGATCAGCCAATTGAAATTGTCCAGAAAACGAAATATCTTGGAATAATCATAACCAGTAACCTGAAGTGGGATTCACATGTTGATTATGTTGTCTCACGTGCAAATCGTATGTTAGGTCTCATCACTTCCGTTTCTGGGGGTCTCTCATCACCGGCCCTACTTTGTCTGTATAAAGCACTTGTTCTTCCGCTTGTTGAATATGGTATACCAGCTTGGTTCCCTGTCAATCGTAATCTATGTGACAGATTAGAAAGCATCCAACGTAGAGCAACTCGTCTGATACTAAAACAGTACCGACAACAGATGCCCTACAATCAGCGTCTAAGGTCACTTAACTGGTACACACTTGAGTCTCGTAGAAAGTACTTGCTGATGTCATTCATTTGTAAATCTCTTTATAGATTCATTGACTGTGATGTAGTTATACAAAATATTCTGATGATAACACGCCGCCCTAATGAACTGAAGTTTCATCACCTACTTGCCCGAACACAGCGTTTGAATAATACCGCTTTGTATCTCTTTCCTCGCTTCTGGGATGAATTCCCTGTAGAACTCCGTAATGACTTTCTATTGTCCCAATATCAAACTTGGCAATCCAAATTGAAAAGCCAAATCTTTTCTCAGCTCTATTAGGTTTTTAGTATATATACATGTGTTTTATCCGCTTATTTTATTGTAGGATGATCAGTTATTATACCTTTTGTTTTTAGATGATAATACTGGTATACTCCTGCTTAACTTGATTATTACAGTAACTTAAAATTACTACTATCTACTATCTTCCACTACAGTGTATGTATTACTATTGTCAATTGAACAGCTTCTGTAATTTCTTTGCCTTGAAAGTACATTACCCCCTGTTTTTCTATAATTGGTTTGATTTTATATGATTCTTGGTTTAAAAACGAACACTGTAAAGGAATAGTTTGTAGTTTACAATTCTTGCCAACCATTTGCATTTCTGCCCCTTAAATATTATCTCATATATAACACAAAAGCACATTTGTATATTTTAATTTTGTATAATTCAACCGTAAAATATTTATGTCAAATAACTGGACACCCCTAGCCTGTATTTTGATACCAAGACGGAGTCCATCATTCGTATTTGTTCCACTTTATATTTGTCCAATACGAAGACATGTTGCTTTTATTGGAAGGCTCTTTATAATTTTCCTTAAAAAACATATGAAATAATTTATACTTTATTGATTAATTTAAAAATTTGAGTTTCTTCTTTTACCATTGTCATATTGATTTTTGCTATACTCTTGTTACTTGTTACAATGTATTTATGTAGTGATCTCCCATGAGTACTGCATGTCGGAATGTGGGACCTTCACGGTTTCGGTGATTTAGTTTGCCTGCCCCATTCCTGGCAACTTGTAATTGCTCATGGGAATCACGATGATTTTCATCCTTTGTTTTGTATGATTTTTTTCTTCTATGTAATCCTCTGTATACACTTTGTTTTGCCGAATAAATAATAATAATAATAATAACATAATTTGATTGGTTGTGGAGAAAGTAGGGCCAATTTCAATCCAATAAAAAATAGCTTTTACAAACTTACACATCGACCTCTATAATATATGCAAGTGCGTAAGCGAAGTTTTTACACAGCGGACAATGAGGCTTACACACCGTGCTCGCAGCCGTATTTCTACCACCAAATTTGACTCGGCTCCGGCGATGGAAAAGACACATTTTACGTTGATTTCAGCAATTTAATGAAGGGAATTTAGATATTATGGACGATCTTTTACAAAACAGGTGTGTAGGGATTAGATTATATCTCTCACGAGACACTGGACTCTTTAATTTCCATGAAATTTAGCAAATTAATGGCACTCAGAACTCACTGCATGATGAGCAGATCTAAATATTCATGGTCGATCTGCTAGTGAAGGAATCGCGTATTCATATTGCAGGGTGATCCCGCCCATCTTAGACGGAGGGATGACAATTGACTTATGCATTGTGATGTGCATCTGTATCTACTAGACATACATATATATTGTCCTGATTTGTTTTCCTTTTTTGGGAGAAGAAGAGGGGAGAGAGAAACAGAGAGAAAGAGAGGGAGAGTGTTGACAAGTCACGCACGCACAGCGGTGTTGACATTCACACTCTCCCCAGTTTTATACGATAAACCCATATTTCATTAAAAAAAAAATCGAAGAGTCCGGTACCTTGGTGTTACGCTCTAGTGCACTCGAACGTTCGTTGTGTGGGAGGTACACAAAATGACTCATTGATCTTTTGCCCGAATGTGGGTCAAATATGTTCATATGCCGACGCACACAGCGAATGACGACGAATGCATAGCGTGGGTCCAGCGAGCTCGACGAACGAGTAACGAGTGATCGACGCACCACTACAGGGAAATGCTGTCAACCGTGGACCAAGTTTAGTACTTGTGTTTGTGTGCGTAGGTAATCACCAGCAACCGCGGACCACTCCATAGAAAACTACATCAAACCGCGGACGTACCTCCTATGGGATGATCCAGGTAGAGAGCGCCTCTCCCGCGCAGTCAAAAGGGGGCGCTGTGACATTTCGCGATACACATCGGACTGATCCAGTCGATGTTGCCTACACGCTGTGACATCTAATATTCAAAATTTTAAATTTGATACGGCGGAACCGGTATCGCAACCGTGGATGGTCCCCCATTGCAGGTACTATACGTCCGCGGTTTGAGGTAGTTTTCTATGGAGTGGTCCGCGGTTGATGGCGTTTTCCTACGCACGCCTAGCGAACGACAACGCACTGGCCAAAATTGCAAATTTTCCATGCGCCGGCCGTGCGTCCCCCATGCGTCCCCTCTGTGTGACCGGGCCTTTATGGGTCAAGAGGTCTTGGTTTTAAATTATGTTACTTGGAAAAATCCTATTACCAATTCATCCGTTCTCATTGATGTAGTCTATCTGTTTTCCTTTGATCGGCCATTCTCCCCCATTCCTTCCAAAACCACATCACCTACCTTTCCACAGGAACTATTCAACTTGTTTTCGCTGAGAGAACCAGAAAACATCTCTGTACAGATTAGATGTTATACCTACGAGTTCCCGTATTTCCTAATTTGAATCACTCCTCCATTTCCCCTACCTCTGCAAAAGATGAAAATTAGTTCTTTCTTCACTAGACCTATGCATTGTCTGAAGAAGCTTCCAGCACGGCGAGCGACAACTCACCGACACATATCAATTTATACTGATGGTGATGAAAAGAGTAATTTTCAAGTTATATCACCAATGACATGAACATATTCAGTTAAGTCTGTTCTGCTTATACCCTAACTTCCATGTTTCATGCAAAAGGTGGATTTGTATTCGGGAGCCTTGTTCATCACTCAGGCGTTAGGATGGAACCAGTATGCAGCCATTGGCATACTTCTTATCTTCGTGGCCATTTTCACCGTTACAGGTATGTTGTTGTTGTCTTCACTCTCTTTGCTACATGTGAAACAAAAGATGGATGAAATAACGACCGTACACCCCGTACACCCTTTTTTCATATAGGTATTAAATCTTTCGCAAATGTAGTTAGAAGAAAAAGAATGGCATGATGTAGATCCGAACAACTTTACTTACAAAATAATTCCTTCACCTTGCTGAACTGTTAAAATTGCGTTTCTTTTAGAAATCTATATAAAGATAAATGTCCCTTGTTTGTATTTCTTTGTTTTCTGAGTGCCTGTTGTGAAATCCTTTGTTTTGAAACGGAAGTACATATTTAATGGTGTTGGCTTTATGTGTTGGTTTTATTGGTTGGTAATGGTATCATACACACGTCAAAAGGAACAAGATACATTACGGAAACCTTATGTAAATGTAAAGTTATCGGTTTATGTTTAGACAGGGCTTTGCCTCAAAGTAAAGACTACAAAGCCACGACTCGCCCCCCACCCCCCCCCCCCTCCCAGACGTCTGTGACCGGTGGTAAAAGATGCAAAGAAATAAGAATATAATGTATAATTCAATTAGATTTGATACCGAAAATATAAATATGTTTTTATTGCATCTCCAACTGTTAATTGTTACACTATGTTATTTCATTTATAAATTAAGGTGGATTGGCAGCTGTCATTTACACCGACACCGTACAAGTGTTCATCATTATCATCGGTGGCATCATACTGATGGTATTAAGTAAGTGTACTTAAGTTGGACTAAACACATGGGAATTTTTCCCACCTACGTTGTTAAAAAAGGCTAAAAAAGAAGGAAACTCTTGCGCCCTCGTACAATGGTAATATGTTATCTTTTGTGGTTCGCAAGGGAAATATAATCGAAAGCTCGTAGGTGTCCTGGAAATTACAAGATTTATCTTGGCCAGTGTTTGAATAATTGACGAATGCCATCATAGACTCATGGATTATTATCATCTCTTTCGTACACCCCTTCCCCCATATTTACACAAGAGTTATGTTAGTGTAAGAAGAGCCTGGGGTATAATAGACCCTCCTCCTCTTCGCACCCTTCAAACTTTCAATCGACCATAATTCCAGAATTTCCGTATGAACCTGCTAAATATTTGGATGTAAAACATTCCGATCTGCGTTATCTGAGGACCTTAGGTATAAGCTATTGGTTTTATTTACCCGTCGGCCAACTAGTGATTAGGTTCAGCATTCATAACCCCTTTTTTTCTCTCAGTCCCACAATATTATACAATAATGCAATGCAGTGAGGGCATTAGTAAGAATTACCCACATGCAAGGTACCTTTGGAACAGTCTAACACGCCCGAACAAAATGCTGTGTATTATTTGATTTATAAAATTATGACGTGGATCCTTGTTATTTGATAAATCTCCCTCATCTCAAAGTCCGTGTATTGCTAATTCTAGGTCTACATCTATGACTGATCTAGATCTAAATTACATAACTAATGCGTTTTAAATTCCGCGGCAGCCATTTTTGCGAGTAAAAGTAAAACGATAAATCTCAATGGTTGCGATCGCAAAACATGATCGTCAATCCAAATTTCGCGTTAGGCTAAATAAATGCCCGGTCACGTGTACGCTTTCAAACAATCTTTTGATTAGGATCTACGTCATAATTTTATAATGTTAAATATTTAGGCCTAAAGCGAGACTGCACTAGTTTTAGCTACTTACTCCCTCTATACAGACAACAATGCCTAAGTGGTACCCGTTGATCCCAAATGGCGGTCCTCTTTTTCTTTGTTAATTGAGAGCTGATTTAAGTCATAACCACCTGCCAGTGACCACGCAGGGAGGTCAAATACGTCCTGGCCAAACTAGTGCAGATAGGCTTTAAGGGAGATATGATTTGGTCTATTGTTAATGTCTGTAGTACGGTCAGCTCTCTGTCACCTACACACTGGCTCTGACCCGACCCAGGTTCGAAACTGAGTTAAGTCGTTCGGTGACGTTGAAGGTCGGTCCCAAATGTAACTAATCATAATTCATAATGTTTGATGCGTATATACAAACATAATCAGTTTCTCTCTCTCCCTATCTCTCTCTCTCTCTTTCCCTTACCACACACATCCTCACGCACCCCCACTCACTCACCCCTCCCAACTAATAAACACGTCCCCCCAAAACATGTTACCTTGTGTACAGTTGTTGTGTGGTTGGTTGTTTGGTGATGATGATAACTCTACTATACAGGGCGTATCATAATAAAGGATATTGAAGTTTAATGACGATTTATATGAAAACTACTGATTTCATAATCAAGCATTTTATGTCTGTTGTAAAGGACAGAATGTCCTCTTTTTAATGACACCCCGATCATACTACTACTGTCACAGTTGACTGAATAACAAAGCATTGCTGTCCACCATGTGAAAGGTGCACTGTGACAAGTTAGCATTCACAGATAAATTCTAAAGATTAGTGCTTGTGTCAGCCCAGACATATTGAAATGCTGAACAATGAGTGGATTATGTGTCTAAGAAGGAAATGTTATCAAACTTGGCACAGTGCACCTTTCACATGGTGGACAGCAATGCTTTGTTATTCAGTCAACTGTGACAGTAGTAGTATGATCGGGGTGTCATTAAAAAGAGGACATTCTGTCCTTTACAACAGTCATAAAATGCTTGATTATGAAATCAGTAGTTTTCATATAAATCGTCATTAAACTTCAATATCCTTTATTATGATACGCCCTGTATGCAACATTCTTTCGAAGGTTACGGTGAGATCGGTAGCTTCCAGGAGCTGAAGATCAGATACTTTCAGGCCATCCCAAATGCCACTCTTAACACACCAAACTACACCTGCGGTATACCAAAGGAGGATTCCTTCCAGATGCTTCGAGACATCGATCCGTTCACCTCCAGTTTTCCTTGGTTAGGGTTCTTGATTGGGCAGACTCTATCCTCTCTGACTTACTGGTGCGCCGAACAGGTAGGCGATAGGCGTCAGAGTCTTTATAACCTTGATTGGGAGAATAAAAGATGATAGAATAAACCTTAGCAATAATACTGCTTTGAGAGGGGTTACTACCAATTCAGTCGCTGCGGTATATCACCGTGTGAATGTAAACTTGCTTTTCTTACGTTCTCGGAATAATTTTAACTTGTATTTTCAAATTGCCTCATAGTAGAGATTTTTGACAAGAAATACGCTGATATGGGGGGGGGGACATATATGGGCGCATAGTAAATAATATGCCCCAAAGCTGACAAAACAGTGCTACCATTAGAAACAAAGGCCCACAATGAACATGATTATGTAATATGTTTTATTACTTATCAATTCCTTCTTCCAAGGTGATGGTCCAGCGTGCCTTAGCAGCAAAGAGTCTCTCCCACGCCCAGGGTGGGTGCCTGTTCGCTGGGTTCTGTAAGATATTACCCCTCTTCATGACTGTTATACCAGGAATGATTGCCAGGGTCCTCTACACAGGTAAACAATGAATATGATAACGATGATACTAATGCCATGGGTCGAATCCCACCAAGCCACTATCGTAATTCGTTAGACATTAATCAGTGTTAACCTGTAATTATACCAATTTTGACAGAGAGTTTAATCGATTTGATTTAATATGTGTTTTTTTAACATCATTAAAAATTAGCAGAAATTAGGTCGAAACGAAAGTGAAACGTCCATTAAATAATATTGATTTAATTTAATAGAATACAATAGTGTACCAAAAATAAAAACTAGTAAATAATTTGTTAAAAGGGAAATTAAAAGGACAGACTTTAGCTAAGCCTGATATCACAAATACAAACAGCAGTTTGAAACTCAAATATCATTTTTAAACCGCAAAACCATGGGATTCAGAGGCCGGTGGCGTATTCGAGAGCCAAGGACGCTTCTACACCTCTATTACATATTATCATCGTTACTGTTCTCATAACCGTTATTAATGCTGTCATCATCATCATTATCATTATTACCATTATCGTTACCGTTATTATCTATGTTGTCATCATTATTATTATTACTATCACTGTGATATGGTTATGTAGATACCGTAGCATGTGCTTCACCGGAAACGTGTATGGAAGCTTGCGGGAACCCAAAGGGTTGTAGTAACACTGCCTACCCAACTCTCGTCCTAGGGATCATGCCAGCAGGTGAGTTCAATGGCTCTTCCTCGACTTCAGTACACTGTTTTTTAGTTTTTTTATCCAAAGGAAAAAAGTATTCAATCATTCTTAAGCGAGAACAAAACAATAGATTTGAACAAAGTACACGTAACATATGGGTAAAACAAACATTATTACATCAGTTGCACATGTCTCCATTTATCAAATGATCCAACAAATTCATTGCGTTTGATACAAAGAACCCACTCAACTTCAAAACAATGTTTAAGCATCTTCTTAAAATTATTCAAAGATAGCTGTTCCCTTTTGTATTTCGCAGAGAATATATAATGTTTTGCATATAAAATAACAAAATTATAGATAGATTGCGTACCATCTAGGAAACCAAACAAAATGATTTTTATTCAAAAGCACTTCATTGTTTAGAATAGAGCTTTGGAAGTCTTGAATGAATTGATGCATAACAGGGCATTCCCAAAACAAGTGTGAAATACTTTCAACATAGGATAAGCAAAATGTACATAAATTAGAATAAGCTATGTCTATAATGTGAATATATTTGTTGACAAGTAGTATTTGATGTAAAATTCTGAACTGAAATAACGAAGTTTCGTAGAAAGGCAACATTTTAAAGGATAGGGTAAAGTATCTTCCAGTCTTGAACAGGTTCAGTTGAAATTGTAGCCCATTTTATTTCCAAAATCGGAACTTTAAGGATCTTTGCAACAGAAATTTGATGAACATATTTGCATACTTTGAAAACCTTCTTTAAGTTATGCAATAATTCCTCTTGGTTTTCTTAACGATGCACATTTTAATTTCGAATGAAATCTTCATTAAATGGTCCATATATGAATTATAGTTTGCCGCTTTGTTCTTTATCCTTCGTTCTTTTGCTAAATTGTCTTTTATCCTTTGTCATTTTCTGTTTTGCTTTCTCTTTCATCTCTTGTATCAACTGGCTTTTTTCATTTTATTGCTTAACATCGCTTATTGACTGAAATATGCAATGATCTAGAAAAAATAGGGTATATGAACTTTCGTTTGGTCCGTTAAGAAATTATGTGCAATTAGTTTATCAAGATCAAAGTTTGTTTTATAGCATGTTTCTTTACTTTCACTTTACTATCACTAATGATATTTCCTTTTCGATGCATTGTTATTTGATTATAAAAAGTCACATGGACAGTTTTTGCTGAAATATTTGAGGATATCTAAATCCATAACAAAGATCGGGGTTGAATTCGTTAAGGACTAAACAATCTTCAACACTTATTGCTGCCAACACATTTCCGTATGACGTAACTTCCTCCCCTTCCTTTTCCAGGTCTTCGAGGAGTTATGTTTGCCGTAATGCTATCTGCCATTGTCAGCAGTATGACGTCACTGCTTAATAGCATCAGTACCCTTTTCACTGTTGATATCTGGCAGTTCGTCCGAGAGAAATACTACCATACAAAGCCCAGCAACAGAGAGATGATGATTGTTGGAAGGTATGGTTTAGTTTTATCATCCGCATAAAATTTGCAACCAAGGCTCTCAATTTGTTAATACTGTCAGAAAACCCATTATTTATTTCTATGATTATTCAATTAGAACTTATTGTTGACCCGCCATCATGCCCTTATACTATCAAGGATAGATTCCTGCAATAACTTTTTATTTATTTTTCTCTCTGCAAAAGATGGAGGGAGGAATCAAGAGTATTCAAAATCCTGTAGCACTTTTTTTTTCTTTTTTTTTTTGGGGGGGGGGGGTAGAGGTGGGCTAGAACACAAGCATCCCCTGTGTTTAAAGACTCTGTTGTCTTTCTTTTGCTCAACGTGTGCAGTTCTAACCATTCCTCTTTTTTTACAAATGAATCAGCAAAAGTTCCCCTCTTACCTTCCCAACATAATTGTTCCTTACCTACCCGCATGCGGGCCCACATGCACCTTTGTTCTATAAAATTAATGAAACTTCTGGATTCGTAATTCCCAAATTAACTTTTTTTTTTGCTGCCGATAAACGATATAGATCTAGCGTAACCTTTTTCTAAAATATATATCATACTCAATTAGAATGATTCAAAATCTGCCAACATATTTTTAAAAAAAGTGACTTTTGTGTCTTGTTACCGTATTTTTTTTTTTTTTTTCATTTCATTTATTTAACCAGTATAAAAACAATTTACAATGAAAATACAATATACAATATACAATATAATGGTTAGGACCCCTAAGAAGCAGAAATCTGCTTGTAATCGGGCCCTGCAAACAAACAATAACAAGATAATGCACATAAATTAACAATACAAAGTAAAGGACTTAAATAATACAAGTACGCACCCGTACATCAACACACACGCACGTTCATAAAGGTTACAGAGAAAGAATAGAAGGAAGCGAAAATAGGGCAGAAAGAGATAAAAGTAGAAAAAAGATGGGAAAGAGAAGTACTTACTCAAGCATGGATTGAAAAATACTTTTTTTATACTCAAGCATGGATTGAAAAATACTTTTTTTATACATTGATTTAAATCTGGTAATTGTAGAACTGGATCTTAGGTCATAATTCAAGGAATTCCACTCCCGTACCCCAACAAATGATAAAGAATTATACATTAAAGTTGAACGACAGAGTGGGTGATGTAAATTTAGACGTTGACGAGTGGGGTAATTGTGAACAGAAGAATTTGTTTGGAACATATTATTAAAAACAGATGGTAACAGGTTTTTATGAAATTTAAACATAAATATACATGTATTAAGTTTGATCAAATCATATACAGGAATAATTTTCAGTTTAATAAATAATGGTAAACTTGGAGACATATAATGACTATTTGTTATTAACCGAGCTGCACGTTTCTGTAACATATAAATCTTGAACAGTTTTGTTTTGTAAGTATTACCCCAAATGATATTGCAATAATTTAAGTGGGGAAGAAGTGTTGCATTGTAAATATTCATTAATATGTTCCTTGGGAGAAAATTCTTTAGTCTAGATAAAACACCCATACTTCTAGAAATTTTAGAACAAACATAATCAATATGACATTTCCAATCTAGAGTTTCTTCAGTATTAGTACCTAAAAAAATAACACTTAGTTCTCGTTCAATATTTACATTCGCTATTTTAACAGGATTGGTGACATTTGGAACTTTCTTTTTCTTTGTGTGAAAAATTACATATTTTGTTTTTTCATAATTCAAAAATAATTTATTACATTTAAACCAATCATTCAATTTTATTAACTCTTCATTTAAATTAGAAACTAAGCATGCTACATTAGAATGAGAATAATATACAACCGTATCATCAGCAAATAATGAAAACATAAGTAATTTGGATGAACTGATTATATCGTTAATATATATGATAAATAAAAGTGGTCCGAGAACCGATCCTTGCGGAACTCCAGTATTTACATCCATATAATCAGATTCGACACCATCGACCACCACATATTGTTTTCTATTAAACAAATAATCAGAAAACCACTGATGAGGTATACCGCGTATACCGTAATGGTACAGTTTTTTAAGTAAAATATGGTGGTCGATGGTGTCAAATGCCTTAGATAGATCCATAAACAATCCATAACAAAACATTCCATTATTAATTTCATGTAGAATATTTTTAGTAAAATTCACAATACTCAGATCAGTGCTATGGTTTTTACGAAAACCAAACTGTTCTGAAAAAAGAACATTATATTTCAGTAAATAATCATATAACCTTTATTTGTAAGCGCTATTGTATTTCGTAATATATATAGCGCAGTATGAATGACCATTATACTTATTATTATTATGCAAGTTACGACCTGTCTCATAAAAGAGTGATGGTTGGTCCAGGTGGATCGCAAGTCCTGCAATCGACCAGTCGCAAACTTAGAGACTCTTCTCTCGTTACTACACAGTTGCGACTTGCGAATGATTCAAGTTGCGATCAAATTAATTCATTAAACTTGCTCAAAAGTATATAACACAGCCACACAGGGCCCACTTGTCCAGGCAGTTTTAGAAAAATGTAGCTAAGAGGGTAGTTTTTGTAGTATTCCGAAATTATGCAGAATTCTTTTTTGCACATACTTACCCTAACTTTAGAATTCAATATATACCCCATTGGCAGCATGGTTGGCGGGAAAAGCCAAAAACATGAAACTTTTTTTTTTAATCATAAATTTATTTACTACTACACAAAGTAAAAAGTATGTTGTAAGGTTCACTATTGAGAAATCGGTATTTTGTTAGTCTTTTTTTTATTATCTTAAATGGCAAGTATAATCAGATTGATAAGGCACGAATTTGTAGGTATTAACATAGAGCAGGAAACGAACGGCAATTAAATATGGCAATTTTCACACTTAAATGGAGTTTAGTTATCTCAATTGTTATGAAATTAAGATCGCTAACTTTTATCAATTTAATGTTTTTGTTTGTGCGTGTGCGTGTACATTGTATGTGTGCGTGTGGGTGTGTGTGTTTGTGAAGACGCTCCGTTCGCTTCAACGTTGTTACAAAATACAAGCTTCATTTTATGGTAAAGTACGATGTCGATCATATTTTATTCTCTAATAATTCTAGGGTGATCGTTCTCGTGATGACCGCGCTGAGTGTTCTCTGGATCCCGGTCATTGACCTTCTTCAAGGAGACAACCTTCTCAAGTACTTTACCCGCATCCAAGGTCGCGTCACACCTACCGTGGCAGCCGTCTATATCCTCGCCGTCCTCTGGCCAAGAGCCAATGAAAAGGTTCGTAGCAAACCTTCATGACTTCGTTCACCCGTTGCGTTCTATTTGCACTTTTCTTCCAAGCACACCTGTAAGGCTAGATATATAACAAAATAATTACCTTGTTATGAATAAAAATGAAACCTGGTATTATCAAAGCTAAACAAAAGAATGCAAGGAAGTAAGACAGGCAACATATAACATATTCTTTCTTTCTTTTCACTTCTAATATCATATAATGATATTTTAATTTCAGCATCGAGCTAGCCTTTTGACAGGACTTTGGCCTCTGCTAGCTCCTCCGATCTAAATTCAATTCATTTTACCCCGATGTTTCGCTGATGTTGTAAAAGTGTGTTATTATGTGTATGTGTTTTAAAACTTGTATTTATATTTGTTTCTATCATTATCTTTTCATGAGTGTAAATAAACTTGAGGCTCGAAACATTGTTCTTTATCAGGAGATTTCAATGTATGATTAATAATAATAGGACAGTCTGCCTGAGACATTTTCTGAAAACCGCTAACATACAAAGACTTGGAAAAAAGCGAATATTACTCAGTTAATGTAGAGCCCTCATTGTTCAATGCAGAGTATTGTCTACAAAAGGCGAGGGGGGGGAATCAATCTGCTGTTGACATATATTTTTTTCAGAAATAATGGTGTTGATGTATTTATTTGAAATGTTTGCCATTTGAAAGATATTATTTATGACTAATTATTCAAGGATTAAGGATATAATTGAGTTATTGTAATTATATAATTGAGCGTTATTTTCCAAAAGAATAAACTAACATGAGGTTAATTTTTTACTATGCCTTTCGTATACACACTGCCTCACGTTAAAAGATGAGAGTTCTATATTCACTTTGTTGTATTCGCTGTTTAAGAAGTATTTGCCTGATAGCGGCTTTCCAAAATTATGTCTGACTGGCTTTGATCATTCAACATACAGTGGAACCTTCATGTTAACCTTCTCACATCCATGCATTATATTGTTTAACCCTTATAAGACAAGGTTTCATTATAAGAAGATAATGTCCTAGGACCCCAGGAGTTTGTTATAATTGTCCGGTTTGAGGCATGCTTCAACTTGATACATTTAGAAGGCAGCGGGTGAACATGAAATTGTTTTTGAAATCAAAGTGATACAAAATAATTGACAACGTTTTTTTAATTTTCAAGCATGTTAGTCTCAATCAGCAGTGTTAAATTAATGAAGAAAATATCGATTTCGTCAAATGCATGTGAACTGTTATGGTTTATGATTTCAAGATTCAATTGCTTTCTTTTGGCTCTCTGCCTAATCAAAAGCATGAACAGGAATATACAATAAAATTGGACATGTAAACAAACTTTGGTCGTAATTGCTTACATTCTCTTGATGATTGTTTTGATGATTGTTTTATAAATGTATTATCATTCCTTATACACGTTATGTTTTTTAATGTTTTTATATCTTCGATTTTAGGGCACTTTTTGGGGTTTGATAATTGGAGCTTCAGTCGGTCTCATCCGGTTAATCCTCGACTTTATCTATCCGGATCCGTCTTGTTGGGACGAAGATACCCGACCCATGGTGGTCAAGCTTCACTATTTCTACTTCAACATGATCCTCTTCATCATCGTCTTCGCCTCCGTCATCATCATCAGTCTCATGACCGAACCTCTGCCCAAGTATCGGGTACGCTCTTGCAAAGACTTTCTCATGTCCTTTGGCAAGACATTTATTTACATTTGCCACACTCAACCCAGGTGATGTAAATGGGTACCTGGTAGGATTATCCCTTGAAATGTACTGTGCGCTGATAACGGCTGCCGGAGCTAAAGCTAGGGTAATAATTTCCAAATCTCTTTGGAAGCGCATAGAGATGTTATTTCATAACGTATTATGCGCTATACAAGAACTGAATGATATTATTATTATTAGAATCAATCTTTTATGCTATTTCAATATTTGTGTGAACATGTAAATGGGTGCGAACATGGCAATCGCCGGCTTACTTCGAATAATTGGGTCATCGCTCTACATTCCGGTTGGTAGTTTTCTTATCATTATATATCACCAAAATTAAAATAGATGATAGTGTAAATGGTCAGATCCAATACAATTGTAACTTCTTTGAAAATCGGATGGTAGGAGGATCGTATAATAGTGTGTGGGTGGGCTTTAAAGCCCGTCTGCACTAGTTTGGCCAGGGGGATTAGACCTCCCTGCAAGGTCACTGAGAGGGGGTTATCTCATCAAATCAGAAAATGAGGATCATGGGGGACCAACAGGCACCGATTCGGGATTGTCTGCTATATAGAGGGCGCAAGTAGCTATAAGTAGTGCAGTCGGGCTTTAAACTTTGATCTCATTTCTTATGCCTATATATGAAGGTGATCCGAACGACGTTCTTCACTCGATACCTAAAGCTTGAGCGACCAGATGAGAAGCAGCTTCATAGCGATATAAATGAAGAGAAAGACTATCAGATGTTGAGCCAAGACGTCATAGAGGTTAAAAATGGACATGGTGAGAATTTTTTTTACAGTAGCACGTGTCATTCATTTCTGATTACACTCTTAAAGGGTAAAAAAATAACATCGTTTCATTTCCACCTTTTAAATATTCTTATTATATCCTATTAATCCTTTTCTTTATTACATATTACTTACATGTATTTTCCGAATTTAATTAACTGCTACTATTACTTTTACCATAACTATTACTATTCTTGTTATTTATCGAACTGTTAACATTTATCTTCGTATTACTAAGACGATTACTATGACTATTACTCTGACTCTTACTCTGACTATTATTATTAATAATAATAATAATAATAATTATAATAATAATAATAATAATAATAATAATGATAATAATAACAATAAGGATAATAATGATAATAGTAATAATAATAATACATTTATATAGCGCAGCTTTGAAAATATATTCAGCTGCGCTGGTTCAGAGCTCCTTTTTTATACTAAATTCTACAAAATAGGATCTCTCAATTGAACAAATATGTTTTTAATTTGGATTTGAAGACACTGAGAGATGGAGTGCTTCGTATTTATATTGGCAAGCTATTCCATAGTTTGGGGGCACCAATAGCGAAAGCACGGTCCCCGAGAGTTACTTTGGTTTTGTCATGAGGAATCTGGAACAATAATTTATCTGTGGAACTGCGCAGGCTACGACTGTGTGACTGGACTTGAAGCAATTCCGTTATGTGACTAGGAGCTTGACCACTCAATGACTTTACAAATTAACAACATTTTGAATGAAATTTGTTGACGGACTGGCAACCAGTGAAGGTCTTTCAGAAGAGGTGCGGTTGAAGTGAATTTTGACCTACGATAGACTATTACTCTGACTATTACTTTAAATTTAACTATAACTTTTATTATGACTATTACTGATACTATTAGTCTATTACTATAACTGTCACAATGACTAATTGACCCAACGATTTAATGATCATTACATCTTCAATGTGTGATCAATCTCTTTAGCCGTCATTGAGGATGAGGAGCGTCCAAAGCCGCCACTCCAGCAGCGAGTCTTGGCGTGGTTCTGTGGCTACGGTGAGGAAACAGAAGAAGGTCGAAGGTTGGCTCGAGAACAGGGGCTGCACAACCGCAAGCTCGGGTCTCTGGAGCAGGACCCAAGAGCCAAGAAATTCCTGTACTTCTGCATGATCCTACTCATCGCTATCGTCATTTTCATGTACACCTTCTTCTCTGTCGAGTGGATATGAAATTGAAATTCAAAAGGTTGACGTCAAACGTTTACCTCCTCGTGCCTGGCCTTCCTCTCAACTTCCCATTCCTTTCCTTCTCTGTCTGTATCTTATTCTTTCTGTCCATTCCCCTCTACCTATTGTCATTACCTACGCTTTTCCTTCTTCAGTCTGCCGCCCCTTTTTTTCTCCTGTTCTTCTTACTTCATGAAATGAATGACATGAAATTAAACTTTTATAATGTTAATTGTTATTTTCGAGGATTTGTTCGGTGTAATTTTTGCAGGGTTGATGCACTATATAATTCTGTTCGTCTTGTTTCGGCATAATCATTGGTGATTGGTACTATTTAATTTCCATCATAATTTGAATATTTTTGGCTCTTGGGCTGCATGTTCGATTTTTGTTATCATAATAAAACGATTCAATCAATCAATAGATTTCTTCATGATCGTCTATTTGTTACAAGTTGCGTTTGCTGTTTGGAACGTGTCTTTCGTATTTCTGATCAGATATTTTGGCAAAAAATAAAATGTAGATTGGAAAGCTGTTTCTGCGAACTCTGAATGATTGTTAAGATATTTTTAATCCCCTATTTAAGTTTAAAATAAGTTTAAGCGTTGACGATTTTAGAATTTCGTAGTCATCAAATTAATGTCTTCCCTTTTGTTGTAATTCTGCTGTCGCGCTGCTCAATATGATATGGGTTTCTTTATGCATTCGTGATATTGGACGGGGTCCAAAACCCTACATCTAAGTGGGCCCAGTTTAACTAATATTATTGTTATTACCTATTCTTTCATCATTTCCAAAAGCAATTGGAAAAAGAGTAATAATATTTTATTATATGTAGCCCTGTCTCAATATTATATCTGTTTACACATTAGATTGACGGTTTTCCATTATGGACTTTGCTCCTTAAGATATCATAGCATTTTATCGAATAATTACGTGAGTGAATACGCGAATGAAAGAAGGAATGATTGGTTATATGAATGGAATTATGAAAGAATAGACATGGTTTTAACACAACTACTAATAGCCACAAAGTGGTGTGCAATTTCGAGTCATGTATATCGTGTATTTCGTTCTGTATGTTTTATACAATTCTTTTTTTTCTTCTGTTTATGATCTAACAATTCTAAAATCATGGAGATATTCAATCAGTGATTAATTAAAGACTAAACTAAATTTGAAATTTAGCATGCTTTTGAATGGTAAATGTCAACCAGGGCTTATTTTCACGAAACCGCCATACTAGTTTGCCGACAGCATATTTAAGTGCGTGTATTAGATTTAACACGTGTTTCAATGGGATGACGGTTTAGTGAAGGGATGCACTGGTGCCACATAGCTGATTACTCAAATGGATCGTTTATAGGACAGGAAAACAGATTCATACAATTTCTCAAAAATGGGAAAACATTTGTTAACCGTCTTTTCCTTTCCTTATAATTAATTTCAAAAGTATTATATTGAATTGATTTATTCTCAATGATTTTAATTCCAGTGGTAAAGATAATGATGATCATGGTGTTCGCAATGTTCGATGTTGACGAGCAATAATTAATTGTGTTAATGATGATTAATGGGAGCTCTACTAAAATGGTGAGGTCTAGGGAGACGCAAAAAGAATATGACGCCCCTCTTCCAAACCCTCCCGTCCTTCGATCAAAAGCCTTCTTTTGTAGCATTTCATCCAGCGATCACCCACCCCGAACCCTAGTCTACAGGTGTAGACGTACCACAGTTCATGAAACCTGGAGCAGAGTTCCGCTCTGTCAGTCTAAGCATTTTTCCCCTTCTCTTTTCTGCTTCATTCAAAATCGTTAATGCAATTTGAATTCGGCGTAATTATTCATAAATGAATGATACACGCCATAAAAGCTAAAACAACAACAACAGAATAGGTCCATGGTCTGAGTCACAACAGTTGATAAGCTAGGCTTTGTGCCTGCAATATATCACCATGACATAAGTACTCTCCCCCAATGACTAAATCAAACCCAGACTACGTCATCAACTACAGCAATGTATTTGTTGGCAATATTGATGGTACTACATTTCATCTGTTCTTTAATGAAGAAAAAAAAACTATTTGTTATCAATGCTTCCATGCATGGCTGTTCTTATTCATCTCACTATGATGTGTAACGTAGCTTGAGTTTTAGCTGTTCACGAGCCAGTGAACGTTACCACCAACCAAGAGCACAGTGTTTGCATAACCATCAGAGGTGGATCTACGGGGGGGGGTAGGGGGTTTAACCCCCCCCCCCCCCGGGCTGCCAAGTGAAAATGTGATGTGCATACAAAAACGGCATCATATGTCCAGACCCACAGAGTAGGCCCATTAGTAGATGTTAGTATATGGCAACAATTAACATCACTTACGAGGTTTCAAAATAGCAAAAAGAAAATCGCATCGCCGCTATGCGGGTCGATACCCCCCCCCCCCCCCTAAGAAAAATGCTAGATTAGCCCCTGACCATGACAGCAACAATTTTTGCTGCTATCACTATTTTAATACGACTTTGTTACCGTGTTCACTCGAGAAAAATGTAATAGCAAATGGATTAAAGCCTTGTTAACAAATGCTGATCGGCCAATACATACATATATAAGCTCAATTTACATTTCACCTTAATGATTATGAGCCTCTCCAGTATGACAAGGGCCATGTTTCACAAAGACTGATATCGACTAAAGTTAGAATGGAACTATGGCAGGCCTGTCATGGCACTGGTTGTTATCACCATCTTTTAGGGACGTGCACACCATGATTACAAATCTAAAGATTTTTATTTTTGTGGATAGTTTATTGTTGAAGACAAAAAAAATCATCTGAAGATTTAAATTTTTCGCGCATTTTTCTTCTAATTTTATATCTGGTTCAAGATTAAATATGTTATAGGGCATAATCAAGTTTCCTTCCAAGGTATATAATCAAAGTCATTTTTTTTTTCTTCCACACGATATAAATGAAGGAAATGTCAACTCCGGAGATTTGTGACAACGATTTACTCGTCCCTTGAGAGACAAATTGCGGGAGCAACCAACGGCATGAAAGGCCTGCCATGGTTCAAGAATTGTGTTCCTATGAGTACTGCAGGAGACATATTTTGTTATAATATATATTAATCGTCGTCATCGCTATGCCGAGTTATTCATTGACGATAGTGTATCTGAACCCTGTCGTCAGGGACTGGGGGGGGGCATGACACCGTGACAAGTAAATAGGACACTCTGCTCTTCATGTCTTTTGTGCAGAGGCGACGCTCGGTGGTGGGGGGGACACAGTAATTCCAACAAAAACAAACAAATTAAACGTGAAAAACTAGAGAAAAGAAGAAAAACAGAGAGAAAGGGAGAGTTGTGAAATAACATGAAGAGAAAATAATTTAGCTCTCCCCAATCCTTCCATTGTAACGGTATATATCATGAAAAAACAGAGAGAAATGGAGAGTTGTGAAATAACATGAAGAGAAAATAATTTAGCTCTCCCCAATCCTTCCATTGTAACGGTAATTTATATCATGCTCTCGCAATTCATTATCCTCATATTTCCATTGCCCGGGGACCTAGACCTACGCTTCGCATCTGTCCTATGAAAAGTATCAAAATCTGACGCCCCCCCCCCCCCCACCTGCTCCAACCCCTACCAAATATAGGCCTACATTGAGCTCAAATTGTTAAATACAGTACGTGGGCTGTAACCTCCGACAATAGCTTAGATATAAAAATTATCATTCAGCGATTCTTCTGCAGGCATTCATTGATTCCACTTGTGTATAAACAGCGTTCATAATAGGTCCATGTTGTGATATTTGTGGACTTTAACAACCATTGTTAAGACCTGACCTTTGTGATTATGAAAATATGTTATGAATAAAATAAGTAAATATGTTCCGGGTTGTCTTGTGCATGTGACTGGGGAATACCAGCGCACCGCTAACGTATTTGCACAATGGCACATCCACCACTGCTTTATGATGTAAATGTACGAGAAGTATACGAATTACAGTTGCGGCGGGGAATCCCCACACAATTTTGTATAATATATACTCATGTTACTGTAGTTATTCTCAGAGCCAGTGTCAGTTAGCGACTAGAGTTGTGTTCTTACAAGTCATGCGGTGTTGCCTTAAATTGGAGGCCTTTAGACGGAATCGTTGATAATTAGCCTATTAGAGACCAAATCACATTTCTAGTTTTGATCGAAAATCACAGGATGGCTGCAGCAAAATCTGTTGAAAAACTTGAGAAGGAGCTGTGTTGTGCGGTCTGTATGCAGGTCCTTACCAGCCCAAGGCATCTCTCTTCATGTGATCATACATTCTGCGAGAAGTGCTTGGAAATGGTCATTTCTTCAGAAGGAGAAGCAAACTCGCGCTTGAAATGTCCGATGTGCCGGAAAACATCGACTCTACCGGGAAAAGGTGTGTCAGGTCTCAAGTCTGACCCGCTCACATGTGGAATCCTTGAAGTCCTGAAGACCAAACTGGACTCGAGTAAAAAAGGATGTGATAGCTGTGGGGATACTGAAACTCCACTGATAACCTACTGTAGAGATTGCTTTGAATTTATCTGCCAATCGTGTACCGAGTCCCACGAAAGGATGAAGCTCAAGTATACGAACCATCGCACTGTCCTGCTCTCGGACATCAACAACGGGAAGGTGAAGGTTAGCCCTTTGGAGGATTCTGAAAAGAGGAACCCATCCAAGTGTGCAGAACACTGGGAGTTGATGAGCTACTACTGCAAAACCTGCAAACTTCGCATATGCAGAGACTGCGTTGTTCTAGAACACAATGGGCACGACTGTACAACGTTGCGGCACATTTTCAATGAAATGCAAAAAGAGATAGGACGTCTTCGGGATAGGTGTCAGCAGCAGAAGGAGGAGATGGAATGGAGCATGAATAAGGTCGAGAAGAAAGAGCGAGCCGGTGCAGCCAAAACATTCCAAGAGATGCGAGAAAGCACTGCTGCTGCCACGCTTGCAGCCATGTCGTATCTAAAAGAGGCAGAAGAACAGCTTCTCGCAAAAGTAGGCAAGCTCGAGAGGGCATTCAAAAGAAATGTAAAGCTCAGCAGAGACCACGTTTCAGGGATTACAGACAATATCGAGCGTGTGGTATCACAAGCAGACAGTATCTTAGTAACAAATGAAGCACCTGAGTTTAGTGCTCTACCCGATGACCTCATCAAGAAAATGGAGGAACTTTTAGCAAAGGAATCCAAAGTGGCGGCTGTAGATGACATCTTAGCTCTGAAAGGTACGTCAATACAAAGCCATCATCTTTCACTGACAATGTCCTCCTATGCTGATGTTGTGTTATCTGGAGTTTGGCAAGTAAAGTCCACTCTTAAACTTGACTCCAAGTCTTCTGCCTCCCGCGTTTTCTGTAACAACAGTCATGTCATCTTGCAAACCAGAGGAAACGTGTACAAAAGACCTCTTGATGGCCAGGGATCTGGATGGAATGACAAACTTCTTAGTGTCCAGAACAACCAGTCTGTCGCAGAAGTGGCAGTTTCGTTTCAAGACCAGGTGATGTATATATCATTTCGAGACAATCTCGAATTGGGAATACGTATGGTACAGCTGTCTGAAATCAACGGCAGAAATGGTAACTACTCTTCTTTCGAGAATATGAAGTCAGTAACTCCATCTTCTTGGTCCACTGACACAGAAATGATGACGACGGATTGCAAAGGACGGATTATCTATGTAGGTAACCAGATGGGACAGACACCACCATTCTCGACACTTTCCAAATCACCACCTGATAAGATCCAGAGAACAGCCAATTCAGCAGGTGCAACTTTCACCGGATATCAAGCGTCAGCTGTCCCTGTCCAGACGTCCTATATGTCGACCTGTTTAACTGGAAGTCCGACACTGACCATGGGCATTCCAGGATCAGGTAAGAAATATATTTGTAAAGATAAAGACGAGTACATGCAATTGCAATGTAAAAAAAACTGTGTGGAAGTGTTTGGAAAGCTAGATCATGTGGTTTACATATGTATTAGTTTGGAATCATCAAAATGATACGGGGGGGGGGTAGTGAGCACTAATTTTTTTTCCCAGACAATTTGAAAATCGCATCCCTTCCCCTTCCCCCATGAGCACCAGGGGAGGGGGCCCGTCTTTAAAAAAATTTAAAAAGGTAAATTTAACGTGTTTTTACCTGTTATTCCCCAGGGGTGCCCCCCCCCCCCCTCTTGATCCGCCTTTTGTTATGAAGTGTTTTAACATGAATACTAAAATGTTACATTTTATGAGATCAAAGACCGGCAAACATTTCAGATCATAAAACAAGGGAGCACTTAAAGTCATATAGTTAGAATCATTGATGACACAAACAGCACATTTTTGAAAAATATGAAGTTTATAATAATAATAATAATAATAATAATAGTAATAATAGTAAACATTTATGATGCGCCATGTCTATAAAAAAATGACACTCCTGGCGAATAAAATATGTCTTGTAAGTATTACCCCATGTAACATTAATTTGAGAAACAGAAAGGGCTATAGTTTTTTAACAATACGTGAAATTTTTATCGTTAAAGTTAGTAAATCCTAAATAAAAGTAATTTTGTTTTTCGTACTGTCCATTTATCATTTTAAGGCTTGTCGTCACCTGATGTGCGAAAGAAAGTTCTAGGAACCGGAAGGAAAACGTCAACGTCGATAACGACAACAGAACAGAAGACACATTTCGCCGGAAAAAACGCCTTTTCATTCCAATCCGCAACAGTATACCGACATCGACCCAATAAACATGAGTTTCAGAGATCATATCATGATCCACAAAGTGATAGCTTCGAAGTTCCTTTCGGGGTTGCAAGCGTTGCTGCGGCGAAGACTGGTCAGCTGGCGTTTCTTCGAGAGGACAAGAAAGGCGTCATCATCACTGATGAAGACGGTAGAATCCAGCATGAAATCAAGGAACCTGGCAGGATGTACTTGTCCATCTCCTGCACAGAGAGTGACGCCCTCTACGTTCTATCCTCCTCCTGTGGAAGTCGCACCTTCACGCTCACCAAGCATTCTTTGGATGATGGTGGTCTCCTCGAGTACGTCATCGATCAGCTCGACGCGTCCGATGGCGTTACAGTTGATGAAAGGCAGATCATGAGCAATTACGGCAATGACCGAGTTATCGTGATTGTCGGAAAGGAAATTCGGATCTATTCGAGAAAGGAGTGGAGAGTTATTGATGATTATGATAATTACCTGTCTGATGACAGCGACCTGTAGGATTTACAATTGAATACACAATATGGCCTCAAGAAGTGCTGATGAAATCATTTGAGCAAAGTAAACTGTGTGAACTTGACCAAAGCAATTGACCACTATAAAAGATGTTTTTATAGCACATTTGATTGTAAGAACCAGTTCGCAGAAACAATCTACGTATGAGCAGAATAAAGATTATTTGTACCAAAATTGTAAACACCAACTACTGGATACGTGCTCATGAAGGTTATAAAATCATTATGTATTTATGCACTGACGGTACGTTATATGTATTCAAGAGGGAGCAAACAAAAGCTGGTCATGAAGAACCTCCATCACTTTGACAGTGATTGTTATAAAATGCTCAAAGGGAAATCTCAATGTTTAAAAAGTCTGTAGATATTTGGTGTCGAATTTGTACTAGGTGCTGAATACGAAATGATAATATTAAATTATATTATAGAAAAATGTATTAACAAATCTATGAACATGCATTTTTAACATTTTGTTAAACCACAATTACTATATAGATATCAAATAATAAATCAAACATATCCAAAATGTCAAATATCTTGTTAAAATACATAATTCCAAATGTTTATACAATTATACCGTGAACATCTGTATAACACATAAATATTGCATCGAAATATTTCGAGGCAGATTAGATGTGATTAGAAATGAAAAGATTGAATTATTGTGGACTAGCTATATTGTTTCCCAACTGGAAAGACAAAAAGTTTAAACAATCTGACAAAATGAGTGTTATAGAGAGGAACACTGCCATTTTTGTTCAAAGTAATTTACAAAGTTAATTTATTCTAAATAATATTAACTGATGCTGTACTTAGAGAGGCAGCAAATTACCCAATTGCCCTATGAGAGTTGTGCTGGTTCCGCACACTGACAAATTGTATGTTTCAAAAGCAAAAAATAGCAATAGCCCAGTGGCAAAGCAGTGGTCTCGTAACACGGAGGTTCCGGGGTTGAAGCCAAGTCGATGCTAATGCCCTTTGGTAAAGCCTTGGGTAAGGTATTAATTCTCATTACCAAGTCGAAAAGATCTTAAAGCCGTTTTCTAGCCTAGTAGTTTAATGGTTAAACGTCAGTCCTTATTGTATGATTATGGGATTTTGTTGACGTTTCACAATTTTCACTCATACACTATCTTCTTTGCTCCTGTCAAGTATCGTTGTATGATAATGGCAGTGTGCTGTCCGTTTGGGGTTGGTCACGTGCAAACGTGTTCGTATTAACACAGAGTTAGCGCCCATCAGGCTCTTAACAGACGATATTCTAGCTGCTTTGTCACTTTTATATTATATATAACCGTGAAGTGGTTATGGCCACTATATTGTATTGAACTGACATCTTTTATTCCACTTATATATGCATTGGTTCCATTATCACTGTCATATTATAATGTTTGCAGAATAGTGGTACATGTACCATATAACCATTTGCTTATATCCAGGAAATGGATTCAAGATTCCAACCTCATTACATAATACTCATCGTACATATTATGTGTGAATAGACCTGTATATACTCAGGTTTGTTCCTACATGCATGTTTTAAACTGGTCATAATTCATGTCAAATTAATTAATCCTGTTTTACTAAGTATGTTACGAGTACTAGGACAATTACAAAACTTTAAACCCTATTCACTTATACCCCTCCCAGATATATTCCCAGTGGCAATACCCCTCTTACAATTGTTTATAGTTATCTACTTTTAAACATATTATATTTTTAATGTTTTGTTTTATAAATACAAAATTTCTTGTTCTTCCTCCTCTTATAAGTGCTTAATTGTTTCAATATTTGTATCGTGTTTGTATGTTATTCATTCAATTATGTTTTGTGTTCATTGTAACTTTTATTGGAAAAAAATCAAATAACATGCTTTATATGCAGGACTGATACTCTATCATTTCATGATTGTAATGCTTCTTTAATAAGCGAAAAACAACTGTCATGTAAATGTAAATTTCAGGCTGTATACACACTTAATTTGCTATTCATAATTATGTTGAATCATAATGATCTCTGTGCAACAGGTCAAAATGATGAATATACTCCAAACTCTGAGTTACTCAATGAAATTAGTGGTTTACAAGTCTGTTTTATAATGATGACGAAAAACTATTTTGTACCATAAAATTGTATAAATTGTAATTATTACTCAGAGGATGAATATTCGAATAACTTCCAAAATGTTAATAAAAACAATTAAAAAAATATATTTGCAGTCAATTGTTTGCATGAAATGAACCAAAAGATATAAACGTTATGAATTTGTGAAGGTTATAATCTCCAGATACGTATGGAAACTCCGAATTGGCTGAATCGGTAATGTCACTGCAAATGGTGAAATGCTGGACCACTTTCCCTCTTGTACCAACACAACAAAAAGGTATAAAAATTTTTGTTTTTTCAAAATGTTTGGATCGGCAAGGAATAGTCTCCTAGGACCTATCATGATATCATATACACTGTTATAATATCATACTATAACTACCTATAATATATTTTGAGTAGCTCCCCAAGGAGGAAGGCACTTTATGAGAGAAAAACGGAAATCAATGATATTTTTGTACACGACGAAAGGGGTAGTTGTCCATGACTTCATCACATTCCACTGACAACATTTCCTATTTTAGATTTTCATGGCTATATCGTGATCTTATATGAAAATTTATACAGCGCAGCTACATAATAATAATAATAATAATAATAATAACAATATTTATAAAGCGCAACATATCCATCTCTAGAGATGCTCAAGGCGCATACAAATAATTTAAATTAATATTTAACATACTTAAGATTAAAGAAATATTAAATGTTAACTTGCATTAGATCATACAACTTCATGGTGCCATGCAAGGTACATACAATGTGGCACAGTGCGATTGTTTTGCATGCATTGTATAAAAAGAACATTGAAATTTAACAATATGCATTGAGCATCAGGTGAGTTTTAAGCCCAGTTTTGAAAGTAGAGAGAGTGTTGGCCGTCTGAATAGAGAAAGGTAACTTATTCCACAAAGAAGGAGCTGCTGATGCAAATGCTCTATCCCCCCAATTTCTTTTGGTACGTATTTCTTTAAGTCTAATATTATGTGATGAACGTAAACCAGAACGACCTGCAGAGTGGGGTGATAGAAGGGATGAAATATATTCTGGAGCTAGATCATTTAGTGCACGATAGGTTAAGAGTAGAATTTTATATATCACACGCTGTTGAACAGGGAGCCAGTGCAGAGATTTCAAGATAGGAGTGATATGTGATGATATTCTGGTGTTAGTTACAAGGCGAGCAGCAGCATTCTGAACTTTTTGCAATCGGTTAATTTGGTTGGCAGGTAGTCGAAAGAGTAATGAATTGCAATTATCAAGGTGCGAAGTAACAAAAGCATGTACTAACTGTTGGGTGGATTGAGGTGAAAGATATTGCCTAATTGCACGGATATTACGTAGATTACAATTGGCCAGTTTAACACAATTTGAAATATGGGTTTCGAGTGACATGGCAGAATCAAATATTACACCAAGATTCCTAGCTTGATGTACAGGAGATACAGGGGCAGAACCAACTTGAACATGAGAAACCTTAATTTTACTGAGCTGTCTACTGTTGCCAAGCAAAATGAATTCTGTTTTTGCATCATTTAGTTTTAAGCGACTCTCAATCATCCAGTTCCTTACATCAGCTATACAGTTTTCAATTTTCTTCACATTTTCATCTATTTCTTTCTGGACAGGTTTGCAAATAAAATAAAGCTGTAAGTCATCTGCATACATATGATAATTGATACTGTGTTTTTGAACAATATGCTGTATGGGCAGAGTATAAACATTGAACAATTGCGGACCGAGAACAGATCCTTGGGGAACTGAAAAATCTAAACTAACTGAAGCAGAGGTAGCATCACGGATACAAACTTTTTGTGATCTACTAGAAAGATATGACATAAACCACTTTAATACTATACCATTGAGACCTATTTCCTTTAATCTCTTTAGCAAAATGCAATGATCAACGGTATCAAAAGCACTGCTGAGATCAAGCAGTACTAAACCAGAGACATTTCCATTATCCATACCAATTAATACATCATTGTTTACCCGTAACAATGCACTTTCCACGCTATGCATCTCCCTGTATGCTGACTGGTAAGGATTTTGCAAACTCTTATTCTTTAAGTGAGACTGTAGTCTACCGGAAACAACTCTTTCTATTAGCTTGCCTAAGTATTTTAGATTAGCAATTGGTCTGTAGTTTTTCAAATCTTGTCTGTTAAGAGAGGGTTTTTTCAGAAGGGGTTTTATGAGGGCATGTTGTAAACAATGGGGAAAGAATCCACACTTTAGAGATTTATTAACTATCTGAGTAATATAAGGAACAAAGTCATTGACAAATTCTTTAATTAGACAAGTTGGTATCGGATCTAAACCACAAGAAGACACAGGGGAATTCATGATGATTTTTCTAATTTCAGTACATGTGGCGAGAGTGAATTCTGACATGCCAGTAAAAGGGACAGGAACAATTTCTAAAAGGGTGTCAGTATTTCTGTAAGAACTTAAATCAGTTAACTCTTCTCGAATACTTTTTATCTTATCTACAAAATAATCACAAAAACGATTAGCAAGATTATGATCATTATCAGTGTTGGGATATAATGGATCCTTCTTCCTGTCTAATAACTTATTAATAATTCTAAACAGACGTTTCTGGTCTCCTGAACAATCATCAATGGAAGAAGAATAGAACTGTTTCTGTGCTTGGTCTATAAGATGAGACACATGTTGCTTCTGCTCCATGTAGAGAATGCGGTCGGCAGGGATTCTAGAAGACCTCCAACGCCGCTCAAGTCTCCGTCGAAGGCGTCTTGCGCTACGAATGTCATCAGTCATCCATGGTGACTGAGGTTTGATAACAATAATTCGAGTCTTCTTTGGAGCAAGTTTATCAAGTAAACTGTGGAGAGAGTTCTCATACTGTGCAACACATGAATCAACAGTATCATGATTAAAATCGATGGAAGATAACGCAGCATGGACACCAGTTTGAAACTCCTGACGATCCATTAATTTTAAGTTACGAGTGACAATGGACTTACGAATGGGTTTAGGTTTCCTTAGAAGTAGGTTGCACTGGATTGCAAAATGATCTGACAGTCCCGGTAGAATGGCGACATCCGAGAGAACATTTCCTGATTCTCGAGATATGAAAAGATCTAATGTGTGTCCGCAGCGATGTGTCGATTCCAGAACATGTTGCTTCATCCCATACATAGACAACAGATCACGAAACTGCCTTGCGTTTCTGTTAGTTTCATCATCAACCCAAATATTGAAATCTCCTGTGCACAAGACTTCAGAAGAGCCAAGATGGTATGTGTCTAACATCATGCCGAACTCATCAAGGAATATGCCAAATGGTAGGTGACGCCCTTGGTTATCAGAAACTTCTGGACGATAAACGATGATGAGCCTAACTGAACGGGAGTCACTTGTAACCAGTACATGAAGACATTCAAAGGACCTGTACGGTGTAACCTGCTGAACAGTTATAGACAAAGATGATTTAAACAAGAGACCGACTCCTCCTCCAGACTTCTTCTCCTCCCTAGGTCTATGTTGAAAGCTGTAACCATCAGGAGTAATTCTGCTAATAACAGCGTTGTCACCATCTCTCAACCACGTTTCACAAATAGCTATTATGTCAAAGTCAT